AGGAGCCAATTCTCATTCCAGCTGCTTCACACTGGCCTGCAAACTGCTTCAGTAAGAGCCAGCAGGACCATCATCTGCAAAAAGCAAAGACTCAATCCTTCTCGAACGCCTCCTCCAAATCCACAAAACACATGCAGACTGGACTCCCCTAAAGGTATAGAGCTGATCCAGCGTTCCACGGCCAGGACACTTTACATACACATACAGTATGTTCTCCACACACATACATACATACATACACATACATACTCTTCACATACACATACATTCTTCTCTCACACACACTTTTCACACACACATTCATCCTTTTCTCTCTATCTCCATCTCTATCTTTCTGTCTGTCTCACTCACTCACTCACTCACACACAAACACACACACACACACACACACACACACACACACACACACACACACACACACACACACACACACACACACACACACACACACACACACACACACATACACACACACACACACATTATAAACTTTGCTTTTCTGCATTTTTCCCAATTGCTGAAAAGTGAAGCCACAGCAACCTGCCATGTTGTGTTTCTTATATATATTTTTTTATTCTTACTAAGACCAGTCATTTACACCGAGGAGATGGGGCTTAAAAACAGTACTGGAACCTGTCAGGGGTGATGCTTTGACTTCTGCAGATTAAGCTATGATATTACAGTAATAATGTATAAGACAGACACGCAAGCACACACACACACTCACACACACACAGATAGAAATGCACAGACACAGGCAAACCCATTGTAGCCCATCTTTCACCTTCTTGTTTCAGAAGGTAAATCATAGAATAACAGGATGAAGCAGTACATTTCTGCAGAATCGTAAAAATGAACAAACCAATAAACATGATAAACATGTTTCTTAATAAACAAAACTATTATGTGTTTTATGTTCTGTAGCTGGCACACTGAGTTGCCTTTGTGTAGAAAATGTATAAATAAATCTGTCTTGTCTTGTTTTGGAGACAATTGCTAAAAATTCTGCTGCTGTTGTGTCCTTGGGCATGACACTTAACCCTCCTTGCCTGCTGGTGGTGGTCGGGGGGGGGGGGGGGGGGATGTGTGTGTGAATGGATGATTGATACTCTGTAGTGTAAAGCACTTTGGAGTCCTCTGACTCTGAAAGGCGCTGTGTAAGTGTGGGTCATTTATCCATTAATGTTTGTAAAAAGATATTTGTTTGTTTATTTATTTTTATTTTGGGGGTAATTTTGTGTTGTTGAGGCTTGTTTTGGGATGGTTTTGAACCTAGCCCAATAAGACTTGAGTCACCCTCTAGATGTGGACTCACAAAACTCTGTTCTCCATTTGAATATAAAGCTGATCATGTTGCAGAATGTGGATTCTACTCAAAACATGTTTTGTTTTTACATTTGATGCTATTTTAGACAGTTAAAAAGCCAGGAGTGAGTAAAGTACCATCACATAAAGCATTCAATGACTTTTTATTATCTATCAGATTGTCTTGTTTACATTAATGAGCATACCTTTAGAGAGTTCACAATCAGTTTTGGTTAGTAATTTTTTCAATAATAAAAGAGATGCAGCTGGATGGGAAACCCCGAGGATGTGTGTGAAGCCAAATCGGTTCAGATTTCAGTGTATTTAAAATATCAAAGAGCCTCGACTGGAGTCTGGACTTCGTTTCTCATTGAGCGTGTCAGTGGTGTGTATAAAAGGGGATTTTATTTCAGCGTGACACAGAGCAGAAAAGGACTTCATTGTTTGTTTTTGCTTTATTTGGATTAATCTATTTCTGTCACTTTTCCCATTTGTTTTTGGTTTCTGACTCACATTTTGGCCGCTGACATTTACACATAAATTGTTCGGAGGCGGCTGCATAAAACAGCTGTTAAACCCAAATCTCAGCTGCTGTCTCTCTGCCTGTTGAAACACCAGTAAACTCCAGTCGGGGTGGGACGCCCACTAAAACATTTAGACTGCCTTTATGCAGGAATCGTTACTTTTGCATGGCTGTTTTATTGTTCAAAAAGAAAAGACATTTCTGGATAAGGGGGTTAAGACCCTCAACACAGTTTGGTCTGAACACTGTATTTTCCCCCTTAATAAACAAAACTGCATCTGCATACATACAGTTCAAAAAAGTTCATATTTTGTTCTGAATGGGTACGTAATGATACACATGATTGCCCTTTGAAATGTGATGAGACACATCCATAGTTTATCTTCAATACAGTTTGTTTCAAAGTTGTGCTATTCATCTTCTGCCATCTTCTTGGACTTTTGTCTCTTCTTCTCAAACTAGCAGAATTTACAGGAAGAAGTAATCATGTTCTCCTCCTGGAGAGCAGGCAATGACACTGGACAGTTCATTCATAAAGAGACGACTGAAAAAAAGCACCAGAGGAACTGAAATTCAGTCAAATGTCACCTCTTTATCATGTTAATGTGAGTGGGAGCCAGGTGTTTTCCTCTGGCTGAGCAGAGGCTCGCCGAGTCCCTGGATGAAAACTGCCTCCAGAGCAGGACTCATCATGGTTTCAGGATGAGACAGGCATCTGTTAAATGTGCTGTGGGTTGTCACACGCAGCCATTCTCCTGTCTGGGTTTGTGCGCCACGGGGGTGTGTGGAGGGTAAAGGGAAGGAGCCAGTGTGCACAGAAAACCAGCCAGCAATGTCAGGCCCAGTCCGCCCCAAGCACAGAACATGGACCAGCCATAGCCGTGACTGATGTCCTCTGGGATCCCGAACATGTAGCGTGGATAGCGGGACAGTTCAAAGTTGATCCCGGCCACACATGTGCAGAGAGAGATTATGCAGCATGTCCCTGATGGAGAACAAGAAGAGACAGAGTAAAATAGAGAGGTAATGCACTCAAAGTTAGGAAATTGTTTCACATTTAGCCCCTCCTAAAAATAAAAATAAGGTGTAACATTTTAGTCACATTTCCGCCTCTTTACAAAATTATATCTAAAAGTTTAAACATGAATCAAAATAATGATGTCAAAAATATTAATAGGATCAAATTCCTATCTATTTGACTTGGAATCTTTACAATCGGATCATTGAAATGTAAATATAAACTTTATATTTAACTAACATGCAAATTGAGATGTGGGAATAGGGTAAAGAGACCCCCTACTATCTCAGAGTATGATGTAAGATTTTATGCATTCCTTTAAAAAATAATCATTTGTTGGACAAAACCAGCAGGAACATTGATAAATGACACTTGGTCTTAGAATCAGATGGACTCTGAGCATTTCTTCACCCTACTTTAACTTTGGAGGTCTGTTTTACTTTTATAATAGTTAAATGTTCAATTTCAAACATCACAGGTTTAATGTTAGATTTGAGTCAACAGCCTACAGAGTCTATGAAGGCATAACCTTTTGGATTTGATTCTAAATTTTCAGCTTTAATTTGATACATGAAGATTTAGATGTGAAATGTTATTTTTTACATATTATTTGAAGCTGAAAGTGTTAAAGCAAAGAAGTTAATTGTGTGTTTTGTTGTTTTACACACAAATCCATCCAGTTTCATCCCCTCTGATGCGTTACCAAAAGCCACCATCAATAACAAACACCACACTGCCCTCCTGTGGCGAACCTGGGCAGTGTTCTTTACGTAAAACATACATTTACCTCCCATGAGGAATAGGAGTCCAGCCACATACTGCATCAGATCATGCTCCTGACAGCAGCCCAGCACGCCTATAATCCACCCGAACAGGATGATGGAAATGGCCATGCCTATGAAGCTGGCAGTCATCCTCTGGAGGTCTGCAACGCACACACAGCTTGACTCACTCTCCACAACAATTAATCTGACAAATAATAATAATAAACAGACAACATCGTGCAAACTCACGGAGCGCGTGCCACTCATCCTGCCTGATAGTCTTCGTCAGATTGATTGGCAGATTTCTGGGCAGCGCTGATGAAGAGTAGTAGTATTTTATTGGCGTGCAGCGCAGAACCAGTCCTGAGGATGTAAACAACACAAAGAGGATCAGATGAGGAGGATCCGCTGACACCCCCCACCCCCTCCCTCCCTCCTCCTCCTCCTCCACCACCACCCAACCATCCACCCACACTATTGTGGAGTATTCGCATCTCGAGCCTTCTGTTACTACAGTTAGCCCTTTTTGTGCCGAAACATAAAACACACGCACAGACACACACGCGCGCGCACACATGCACACGGGTGCGCACACACACACACAGCTAGATGATTGCACTGTGTAGTACTGCGTAGGCCTTGAGGGTCTGTGCGCAGCATCAGCACCTCGGACAGCGCCACAAGCACAAAATAACGCAGGAAACGGACCTTTAAAGATCAGGTCCTCCGTCTCCAGGTCGAATCCCTCCCGGTGGCACTTCCGCCACAGTCCGGTGATGGTGGAGTTGAAATGCCGACTGCATAGGGACTCCATGGCCGAGGCGGGAGGCAGGAAGAAGTGTCTCTTAGCCCGCAGCAGCGCGTCGCCCCGGACGCTGGAGCTTTTCCTCCCGGTGCTCCCCTCCATCGGCAGCATCCGAAGCGGGAGGTTGTTGTTGGAGATGTAAATGTAGCCCGGGTCGTTCCTTTTGTTTGAGTAATTCTTGCAGCGCTCCCGGTGCCGCCTCGCGTCCGTCTCGTACCAGTTGTCGGTGCTGATCGCCACGGCTATCAGTCCCAACGCGCAGAATGCCAAAAAGAGCCCAGCCACGGTTAAAGTCCTCATCGCAGCCATGTTCCATGCGCGTGTCTGGCCTCGGTGCCGTGACAGATCCACGGGACGGGAGGACTCCCCTCCTGGCTGCTGCTGCTGTCAGTGGCTGCTGCGCTGTGGAGGAACTTCAGCAATACGTGAGGATGTGGAGAGCGGATCCATCACAGAAACCTTCTCCTCTCTGGATTTCCTCCTATGCTTTTGAGTAAAGTCAGATTCTGTTGCGCAAAATAAATAAACCGAGGCCTGGACGAGCTGTTCGGGTTGCTTCCCAGATGCCTCTGAACTCGGTCTATTGATGCTGCTCAGTCCAGCACCTCTTTCCAGCAGATGGAGACAGAGCAAGTGTTTGGAGACACTTCACCTAGACCTGATCCTACTGCATCATCATGGACCAGGAAGAGCTTTAGTTTGTCAAGGAAATCCAAGAGGAAGTGTCCTCCAGTCCACCCTGCTTTCAATAAGCGTCTGTCAAATTAAGACAGCTGCTGCTGTCTGTCTGACAGACCATAATAAACACTAGAAACAGATGACTGCTTTGTGTGATGATGCAGGAAACTGTTTCATCACATCCCCTAGATCTGGTAAATTTCCATTCCAGCAGAGACTTTTCAGACAGATGTAAACAAAAGCAGAACACTAGGCAATTTTTCTCAGTTATACAAAAACACAAGGATGAAAATCAGGTTTATAAGAAAAAAATACATTTAAATTTAGTACAACTTTTATGTTTTCTCTCTTTATTTTTGTTTATTTGTTTATGTAGTTTTGAAAATAACAACTTACGCTTCAAATTAACTCCTCAAGTGTAAAATGTTTTAAAATAAACAACATTTAACCCTTACCCAACGTTTAAATTTTCTAACGTTAAAGTCATTAGAGCACAAAAAAATGCACTTAGAAAGCTTCCTTTAGAAATATTATATAATATTTCATAAGTCCCAATTTTTTTACATGAATTTCATCCTTGGCTTCAGCCCTAACAAAATATAATAAAATATGTGTGTGTTTCTCAGATTTAACCCCTTCATTGCCAGGTTTATTAGCAAAACCCGAAGTTTGAAAACTGTACAAAAAATGAAAAAATCAAATCATTTTTTGTGTGTTATGTCCAGATTAACTTTTTTGTGGGTAAGTTCTCACAGCCTTGGAGTGTCACAAATAGGCATAAAAATATTTTTTGCTCACTTTGTAGTTTTTGTGGAATGTCACATTTTCTAAAATACTCACGTTAAAGTCATTAGAGCACAAAAAAATGCACCTAGAAAGCTTCCCATAGAAATATTATATAATATTTCATAAGTCCCAATTTTTTTACATGAATTTCATCCTTGGCTTCAGCCCTAACAAAATATAATAAAATATGTGTGTGTTTCTCAGATTTAACACCTTTATTGCTAGGTTTATTAGCAAAACCCGAAGTTTGAAAACTGTACAAAAAATGAAAAAATCAAATCATTTTTTGTGTGTTATGTCCAGATTACCTTTTTTGTGGGTAAGTTGTCACAGCCTTGGAGTGTCACAAATAGGCATAAAAATATTTTTTGTTCACTTTGTAGTTTTTGTGTAATGTCATATTTTCTAAAATACTCACGTTAAAGTCATTAGAGCACAAAAAAATGCACTTAGAAAGCTTCCCATAGAAATATTATATAATATTTCATAAGTCCCAATTTTTTTACATGAATTTCATCCTTGGCTTCAGCCCTAACAAAATATAATAAAATATGTGTGTGTTTCTCAGATTTAACCCCTTTATTGCCAGGTTTATTAGCAAAACCCGAAGTTTGAAAACTGTACAAAAAATGAAAAAATCAAATCATTTTTTGTGTGTTATGTCCAGATTAACTTTTTTGTGGGTAAGTTGTCACAGCCTTGGAGTGTCACAAATAGGCATAAAAATATTTTTTGCTCACTTTGTAGTTTTTGTGTAATGTCATATTTTCTAAAATACTCACGTTAAAGTCATTAGAGCACAAAAAAATGCACTTACAAAGATGACCAGTTGAACACTTTATTAAAGCACACGAACAAAGAAAAAGTGTGTGTGTGTGTGTGTGTGTGTGTGTGTGTGTGTGTGTGTGTGTGTGTGTGTGTGTGTGTGTGTGTGTGTGTGTGTGTGTGTGTGTGTGTGTGTGTGTGTGTGTGTGTGTGTGAGAGAGAGAGAGAGAGAGAGAAAGAGAGAGAAACACAGAGGGGAGTGAGCTAACAGCTGCAGGCTGAGCACACAACTGTTGAGTGCTCCTTGCACACAGCCTGTCCACATGCATGGCAAAAGCGTGCATGCACGCTCCTCTTCCCTCTGCAAAGGTGGCATCTTTTCTTTGTCTGCTCCTGGGCTGGACCTGGCTCCACTTGCTGCTGCACCTCCAACAGAGCTGCAGCGCTGCTGGACCGCGGCAAGCGAGTGCGCCTCGCCTGGGCTGGTCTCACCATGGAGGTCCCAAGCTCCTGCAAGAACAGCCTTCGACGGATGCTCCTCTTCTGTTGGTTCCAGGCCGGTTCCACAGACAGCCACAGGACCAGGGCATTGTAGGCGCTCACATCTAACATGTTGCAGAAGAGCGACATGGGCCAACGTCTGGTCTTGCGGCGGCAGCTGTATGTTGCAACGAGCTGGAATAAAAATAAATGAATAAATAAATTACATATGCAATTAGGTTGGTGAATTATAATAAAACAAAATAAAATAAATAAATTACCTTGTCCAAGTTGTCAACTGCCCCTTTGCAGCGGTTGTAATCGATGATTACGGTCGGCTTCTGCTGCGGTCCCTCCTGGATCTGAACCTGATGGTGTTTGGTGCTGAGGAGCAGAACGTTCCGCCGGCGCTTTGGAATGTAGCTCACCGCGGTGGCGGTGGAGGTGAAGCCGAACAGGGAGGACAGAACCGCTCTGCTTTTCATCTGGAGCAGCTGTGGGGGCAACTCTGGCTTGTTGCGCCTAACTGTTCCCACAAGACAGATTTTTTTTTTAGCAGCTCCTCTCCAAGAACCAGCGAGGTGAAAAAATTGTCCGTGGTGAGTGCGGCCGCTCAGACCCTCCGTGAGTTCCAGCACCACCCGCTTCCCTTGCCCCCTTTCTGCCGGGGCGTCTCGAGTCGTCTTGCCCAGATAGGGAATAATCCCCCAGGCATAAGAAGTGGCCACATCGCTCACCACCCACAGCTTGATGCCATATTTTGCCGGTTTTGAGGGCATGTACTGCTTGAAGTTGCAGCGACCTCTGAATCCGACGAGCTGTTCATCAACGCAGACATCTTCACCGGGGTTGTAGGCGAGAGGGAGCCGGGCCGCCCAGAGGTCCCACACTTCCCGCAGGGGAGCGAGCTTGTCCTGCTGCACCAACCGGCGGGCTGCCCTGGTCAAGCGGTCATCAAAGCGCAATGTTGCAGTCAGCATGTGGAACCTTCCCAAACTCATCGTGGCTCTGAATATCGGCCTCCCCGTTTCCTCCCCCCAGAGGCTGGCAGATGATTCCCCACGGGAACGGTGCACACCAGCGAGGATGAGCAACCCAAACAATGCCCGGAGTTCCACGCGGTCAACGTCTGTCCAATCGTCATATTTTCTTCTTCCCTCTATATTGGTGTATTTTATTATTACATCTAGGATTGTTGTAGTTAAAAAAATCGAAGCTGTCCTCAATAGTTTGGATGTAGCTGACAGCGAGGCGGGTGATCCCACAATGGCGGACGTCTGGAGCCCGAAAGGGGATCCTGGTGTCGGGTGTCGGGGACCAGGCGATCCCGCTCTTTGATTGCCACAAAGGATGGTCCCATCTCTCCTCTGCAGCAACCACCTCCTCATCTGAACCTTCTTCCATTTCTTCCCCTGAATCAGGCCCTGGGGTAAAGGCCTGATCTTCAGCCTCTTCATCCGAACAAGAGCTGTCGTCCGTGGATGAGGATGAGGCTGACTCTCCCTCTTCCTCAAGCTGCTGAAACACCTCCAGGGCTTCATTCACATTGAATCTTCTTCTCATGGTTGCGGTTCAAAGAAATGAATCCTGATCTGAGTCTCATATATGTACTTTTAGTCAATTGGTGCACCTGTGTAAGCTGCCCCTACTGAATGTAAACAAAATTCGATTCTGCAGGAATTTGTTTTGAAAAACAAATGTATGCCTTTGAAGTTTTTCAGCCTTCATCTTAGCTTTCATCCATGCAAATGCTTTGTACTTATTGAAATAACATTTTGCAAAAGTAAAATTGTGAATGAGTATCTGAAATTTAGCAGAAAATCCTTTGATTTTTGATATATAGCATGCCTTTGATGAATATTCATGAAGTCAACAGAGTGTGAGAACCTGTGCCCCCCCCCCCCCTACACTCCCATGGCCCACACCTGCTCAACCACTCCAGATAATGATCACAGATCTGTCCTTTGAAGATCTGTAAAGTGCTTTGATACCTACATACACGCATGCCTGAACAATCACACACAAAGGAACACATGTCAAAATGCTATTTTGCAGAATAAGCTAATTTTGTACATTCAGTCAGGCTTATTTTTTGAAAGAACACTGAAAAAGCACAATTACCAAAAATTCAGAACACACACATGCAAACTATTGTATGGCATCTCTAAATAACACACAAACCATTTTTTTGCAAAATATGTATTATAATGGGCAGTCAGAGGTAAAGAAATACAGCTAAATCATTCAGTTTAAATGCTGGGTCAGCCATTGCCCTGCTATATATGGAGAAAGTATGCCATGTAGTGAAAAACAGTAAAAACTGCTTCTTACATTTGTGATGAGACTGTAAACACGGGCACAATCATAATTTTTTAAAATTATGCCAATATTTATGCTAATTAAAAATATATGATTTACATGAAAGTCAATGGCACAAAAAAATGCTTCAATGTGCTTAACTGTACAAAATGATTTCCACGTTTTAATAAAGTAGGTTGAATATTTTTTCAAACTTTTTTTTGTAATTCCTTCCAAAATACACATCCTCCATAAAAATTAGATAAATTGCATTAACATAGCCAAAGTTATTCACAAAAATACACGTGTCAGCACAAAAAAATGCTCTAATGTGAGGTAAGGGTTAAGGGAGTCTATAGCAGGGGAGGTTCCAGACTAACAGTAGAGGGGGTGCAGCTGCTCTGGGAGGGCACGTTTGTAAGAAAACATTACAAACATGCTTTTAAATATTTCAGATTTTACAAAAATATAATATTAATTCAGTTACAGTTACTTTGCATACAGCAGCTTTTCAATACGATTCAAAATATAAATATTTAGCAAAAAATATTCCATTAAATGAGTTCATTTTATCTCAGAGACAGCTTGAAAGTATTTGTCTACGCATCTCTTTTCTAAATTCATTCACATGGTTCCACATCTGGCATGAAGCTAAATTATGCCAAAGAAAATCTAAACTAATTCATGCTGCACTGCTCTAGAGGGGGAGGGTGGGGGGTGGTGGGTGGGGGGGGGGTGTCCAAGCTTCCTATCACGGTGCCACTGACCCACTCTGAACCCCCTCCCCAGACACCCTCCTGGTTTACGGTGGTGTTTTAAAGTGGCAGTAATGTTTCCTGTGGAGCAGAAAGCACGCATCCTTGGCATGACTCAGACTTTGATGGTCCTTCAGGTAATCTCGTCGAGAGAATGCAATGCTGATGCTAGTTTTCTGGCGCTGTAGTTACCAGATCTGCTCAAGGTCCTCCGCCTGCCAATGACATCAAACTATGGCAAACTATGGCATCTCTTTTTCGATTCTGTTCTTTCACATAGGTTTTAGAAAGAGTTTAGCGGTTTTGTTAGTAAATTTGTGTTTCTTGCTGTCTAAATGTTTTCGAACATAGTAACAGAACTTTTGCAGGCGCAGGGCCCTGCGGACCAGAAGGAAACATGGTGTCTCATATGGCGTGCCCCAGAGACTTAGACCTATGTAACTTAGACCAGATTTTTATGGTTATACGTTGCAGCTGCCAATAATTTTCAACGACTGCACATCATTTTAGTCATTTTCAACAAAATTCTGACGAATATTTCCAGAGACTAACGGTAAAAACTACACAGACTTTTTATTGCTGTCACTTTTGTAGTGTCAAACCTGTAAAATGCCCCTCTCACTAATGTATTACACTAATGCACTATAGTGTAAACACTAGTCCAGTGTCATGCTGTTGCTTTGTTAACACAAACAGGAGAGTTCCTCTCTTTATTAGTTTAAAAGAAAAATCTGTTAAAATATTCTGTTTGCTGAACTTTAAAGACTTCTTTTCCAATTCACCTCAGTTTATCAAAACCTTTGTGATGGACTGAACTCGTTCACACTGACTTTTCTATGAATGGTTTTAGTTTGCATTTTGATTATTTTTACTGGAATGCCACTTGAGTGTTTCTACCTTTCAACTTTTGTTTGTGGTCTTGTGTTCTGCCACCAAATATTATCCTGAATGTTTTAATGTTTTCGCAGATTAGAAAGTTGTTCATTTTTGTCAGTTCCCCCAAATGACCTCTAACATTTTACCTTGAAATACAAGTCCAAGTTAACATGTGATCATTGTTAAATATCATATTTAAAAAAAACTCTGACCCACCCAAGTTCTTTTTAAATCACAGCCCAGTCTCTAAACTTTCTCAGAAACTGGGTTTTAGAACACAAACAGCCCAAAAGGGCTCGGACCATTTCAGTCACTGGTTTCATTCTCATGGTCAGAACTTCCTCTATTGAAACCCGAATGTCGGCGCTAAAGAGGAACAAGCAAGACTCCAAACTTCACTTTTGGTTTCAGCTCCTGAGCACAGTGGCTATAAAAAATAACCATCCACAAATTAATCATAAGTGTTACTTGTTGCAATAAAAAAAACTGAAGAAAGGAAAAAAATCAATTTTTCTGCAGCTTTATGGATAAACTGTTTGTAATGTATTTATTTATTTAGTTATTTTAGACCAAACACAAATAAAATCAATAAAATGACATCAGAAATGTCTTCATTCTTCAGTCTTCATTCATTAATGCAAGAATCCCTGAAGTGTAACTTTTGAACAGATTCATTAAAATGACTCAACGTGTCCCACTGATCCAAAAGCACAGGATGTAAATGTTCGTGTAAATGTGATCACCGGCCATCAGGAAGCAGCTCGTCATATGAATCTGACTACAGGGTGATATGAATGCAGACTGCATAAAGTCCAGCATAGCTGATTTCTCACTTTCAGTTCCCATTTGTGTGTTGAAGTCGACGTTGCGTGTTTGTCCGTGAAGCAACAGGAAAAACTTCACTAAAAGCCTTAAAGTTGAGACTCTCATGCTACCTTGTTTACACGATGGAAGGCTTTGTCGTGTCGTCTGTAAGTGTTTTCTTTTTGTGAAATCAGACAATTGGTTCAGTTTGTGACATTTCAGTTTTTGTTTTACAGTTTAGTAGGACTTCTGGACAGTTTAATTTGAATATAATGCAGAAAAGAGTTTTACTTTATGTGTTTTACACAATAATATGTATTTGACTGAAACATTACTCCTTACTCTAATGAAAACCCCTATTTGTGGTTTGTGTTACATTTTATTACTCTTTAAAGCAAGATAAATGTGTTTTTGGACAAATAAACTTTAATAATAACCATATTATAGGGCTAATATAGGAAAATTATTCTTTTGTTTTTCTCAAAGGCCTCAGAAGAAATCCTTTCACATGAGGCTGAGACTTATCGACTGCCTGTGGACCTGTACCCCTACCTGAGTGGTGTGGGGGAGATTTACGAAGGTGAGGAAGATAAATTATATATTTAAAGAATGGAAAGGAGTTCAATATGTGTCTTTTTGATAGACCACAGATGGAACTTCCACTCTGATCGGGTCCAACCACCAGACTTTGAGAATTCCCCCGTGAATCACCTGACAGAGCTGCAGGCAGTGTCTCCTCAGCAGCTGATACAATCCTTTCGCTACAGCAGCGAGCCTGTGCACCTCCACCTGGAACCTCCACTCGCCCCTCTCTCCCTGCCATCACAGGTGAGTCCATGTGTGCACAAACACAAAAAGAAAAACGTTTGACACAATTCCTCATTTTTATTATAAGTTTAATCAAAACATCTATTTAAAAAAAACTGAAAATGTTTATTTAACTGAACATAATGTCAGTTTTACAGGATTCTTATTGTTGGTTGACAGTAATACTAATACTCATACTAATGGGAATAGATTGTCTAAGCCTTTATTACATTGTTTGATCCACATAAGTCTTTTAACAGGTGACATGTATTCAGGAGGTTTGTAAAACCCCAATTTAATCTAAACAAACCAAGTGCAGGATGTGGAAACACTGGGATGTTTTTTCTGAAATGTCATCCACACCATGTGGTGCTGCTGAGCATTGAAAGCTATTTTGGCAGAACTTCCTCTTTTGGTGCAATAGCCACATTTAAGCAAAAATGTCAAACAGCAAGCAATTGCAAAATTGCAGGAAAGAAGTTATGGCATGCTTTAAATTTCCCCTAAAGATCCCATATTGCACCCCATCCCTGTGCTACCAGTACCCACCCTCGGCTTCACCTGCACGCTACTACTCAGAGGAGGACAAGAGAGCCGTCAGCCCACCTCTGCAGGTCTCAGAGGGGGAAGACGAGTTCGACGACTACAACTATTCCTTCAGGAAAGACACAAGTATGTATTTTTCATTCCTCTACAACAAAGAAACCCAAATTACTGCAGCTTTTACAAATGTAATGAATTTTCCTCCAAGGCAACAAGAAGAAAATCCGCCTATATCAGTTCCTCCTGGACCTGCTTCGGAAGGGTGACATGGGTGACAGCATCTGGTGGGTGGACCAGGACAAGGGAATCTTCCAGTTCTCCACAAAGAACAAAGAAGCCCTGGCAACCCACTGGGGGGTTCAGAAAGGAAACCGCAAAAAGATGACATACCAAAAAATGGCTCGAGCTCTGAGGAACTATGGTAAAACTGGAGAAATTAAGAAAGTGAAGAAGAAGCTAACCTACCAGTTCAGCGAGGAGGTGCTGAAGAGCCTCTATTTCCGTCATTATCATCACTGATGAGGAAACAAAGGCTTTTATCAAAATCACATCACTAAACTGGAAAAGACTTGGTAAAAAACCAAAGTTCAGTTTGGTTTTCCACCCAGTCTCCTGATTTATTTATTGGTGATGCCACAGTGGCATTTTTGAATAAACATTTTCCACTCAAGCTAAAGTTTTACAAAAATCAGACTATGACACATTTTTACTTTTCTAAATATGTAAATAAATATGTGAAATTCTACTTTTTAATTCGTATAAGCATAAAACTTGTCTGTGTGCATGACACTGGATATATTTTGACTGACAGGACTTTAAATTATAGCTACAAAATGATATTGTATTATTTTAGGTCCTATTAAGACCGTGTACGGAAGAAAATAGAAGCGAACAGATTTAAATGTGATGATATTGCACCCACACACTGTGGAGTGCAGCACAGAATGAACAGCTGCAGGATTCTGTAGGATCCTATTTAATGCATCATTGAAATAGAAAATTCTACAATCAATGTTGTGCAAAGATGAAACACAAATTTGTCCTGGAACTGCAGCTGCAAGTATATTGTAAATGTGTGCTGAGAGGGTCTGAGCCTCTGAGAATACATTAAATGATGTGACCCTGGCTTCACTGCTGCATCTGCTGGGCTTGGAGGACACCTGGATGAAAAAGGACAATTCAAATGGATCAGAAAGGCTGTCAAGAGTAATGAAAGGGTTATCTCAGTCTGTAAGAGAATATATGAAGTTCAACCAGAAACATTAAATGTTAGAGAATCTGATTATATTTTGCACACGGGGAACAAGACTGAAAGGAGGAAATGAGTAACCGTATATTTTGACCAAACAAACCACCGGTTCCACTAAACAAAGGTGAAGGTAACATGTGCCCGAGCATCACAGTAATTGTTGTAGGAAAAATGAGAAAGTATAACAATAAAATATTACTAAACAATGTTTATCACTATAAAGAGTTTTTTTTTGCAAATGAGGCATATGTCATGAGGAAGGGGCTGTCCTGCGATGGCCTGGGCCTCTTTAGTTCCCCACGGGGGGGGGGGGGGGCAAAGAATGGACAGAAGCCAGGGGATGGAGGAGAGTAAGCCGGAGAATAAGAACACTGAAGGAGGAGAACTAAGCAGAGCCAAAAGCCCACCAGTCCTGAGAGAGTGAGCCTCCAACCTCACCCCAAAGCCATTGAGAAGAAATGGTTGATAAAGGAGACCTTGTTAAATTACAAGTTCCAAACAAAAAATTTTTTTTATTATTATCAATTTTTGACCTAACAAAGACTCATGACCCCGAAACTCCCAGCCCACTTTTAACCCTCTCAGGCTCAAAATAAGTTTTGATAAAAGGACGAACAACTAAGTCCTTCAGGGGTACTTCTGATTTAAAAAATGCTCATGAAATACGTATGTGGAGTAACCAGGTTTTAACGTTGCAAATCTGCAACGCCTGCTTCCAGAGGGTTAAATAAGAAACTCTTTGGATGAGTGGCATTAAAAATTTTAGGATGGCTGTGTGATGGGAACTAGCACTCTGCTTAGCATATTGTCATCTATAGGTATCACTCACATTCCTCTTGCCTGGTTCACCTCCTACCTCTCTGGCCGCATGTCATATAAATCCAATATCTTTCCTGTCTCTGCTGGTGTGCCCCAGGGCTCTTTCCTGGGGCCCCTTCTTTTCATCACTTGTCCTCTCCCGCTAGGTTGCTTTTTTCGGAAACACAACATTCATTTTCATTGTTACGCAGATTACACCCAGCTCTGACTCTCAACCAAACCCTCAAACTCATTTCCACCCTCCTCCCTGACCCTCTGTCTCCAAGAAATCTATTCTTGGTTTATTTCCAGCCTCCTCAACCTGAACAGTTCTAAAACTGAAATCCTCATGGTAGGCGCATCTCACATTCTCTCCAAATCTAACAGTTTTCCCATCTCTATTGATAACTCAGCAGGTACTCCCTCTCCTCATGTTAAGAGCCTGGGTGTCATTCTCAAAAACACACTTTCTTTTCAATCTCACATCAGCGATATTACCCGGTCTGCTTACTTTCAGTCTCTGTCCATCACTTACTCCTCTTACCACTGCCATCCTTTTCCACAGTCTCGTCACATCCAGGATTGATTATTTCAACTCACTTCTCTTTGGTTCCCCAGCAAATCCCTACAAAAACTGCAGCTTTTTCAAAACGCTGATGAATGTGTCATTAGGACTCCATCATCTCATCACATCACCCCCATCCTGCAACAACTTCATTGGTTGCCCATTAAACAAAGAGTCAGTTTCAAAATTTTGCTCATCACTTTCGAAGCACCTCATAACCTGCCTCCATCCTACATATCAGCCCTCATTCACATCGCCACTCCCGTCTGCTCACTTCGATCCTCTTCTGCACATTTAAAAAATAAAATGTATTATTATTTTTATACAAATATTATGAGAATAATCAACAAGTAAAATTACCAACTTTTTCTGTAAGGAAGACAAAACACCAGAATGTTACATATTATTAAAATAAAATAAAATAAAATAAAATAAAATAAAATTAAATTAAATTAAATTAAATTAAATTAAATTAAATTAAATATGAAGGACATGTCATAAAACTCCACACCTGAAGATGGCGGTATTTTAAGATGGGCCGTGAGTCACGCGGGGAAAAAAACTCATGACGTTTACACACTGGGCCAATTAGCGCCGAGGTATTTTTCTGTGCAAATTTTAAATTTAGTTGACCAACTAACGAGGAGGTCGGAAATAAATAGTCTTCGTTTTTAAACTCGAAGCGCTGTTTACATTTTAGGAAAATATTATTTTATTTCACCGTGGTTGGCTACATTGGCGACATGAGACTGAGGTGAGTGGTTTACTGCCGTAGATATTTCATATAAAGCCTTCATTTTGAATCGGCTAACGTTAATTGTTAGCTTGCTAACACTGACGGGCTAACAGCTGTTTGCAGTAAGGATAATTGAATGATACGTATCACAGCTGACCTTATTGAGCTTAGTTTCCTTCTTCAAATAGGAAAAGCAAATGTTGGGCTGCTGTTGGATTATTTGTGTAACTTGATCACCTTGCTCCAGGGTTCTGTCTTGATCTCATTCCACAGCCACTTGTATTAGGTGCAAATATTTCACTATATGTTCACATAAGCATCCCCATGACTGCAGTCATTGTGCCACGTAGTTTTTGATTTCTGATCCAATCAGGAATTGCCATCACAGAGGGGTTGAAATGCCCCCACAGGGGTGTATTAGGCGATGTCAGCCATGTAAAGGCACTTCCGGAGACCTCCAGAGAGTCAGCAATTATTTTTTGTACCCTGTGCTTCTTCTCTGCTTTTTATACATAAACCAAGATATAATTGAATCACTGCCTCATCGTCTTTATTAACGAAGCACTGTAATGAAGTTAAAGGGATTTGCCATTATTGAAAGAAGCTCTGGAGCGTCAGCTGCCCTTTGGGGTAAGAGCCAGGAAGGTTAGGGCCAGTCGTGAACTGGATCACCGGCCAACAATACAATTTCCTTGTGGATTAGAAAAATGCTCAATTAGTGTTAAACCTGGTTTTTTGACGACATTTCAACTTTAATCATGCTTATAAGTTGTTGCTTTTTCCCAGTGAGGTTCACGCAGCAGAGTCTGTGGCCTACCTGAACAGGTCGCTGGCCAGGCTGCAGGATATTTGGGAGGAAATTGGGATTCCTGATGAACAGCGAGTTCAGAGGACAAATGCTGTTCATAAACACACCAAGGTGAGTCCCACGGCCACATGTTAGTTAATTAGTAAGGTTGTTCCTGAGTCCCTCAGATCTAATACGACAGCTCGTTTGGTTCTCTTTGCCTGCAGGGTTTACTGGACAAGATGATCGAGGAAGAGGAGAGCCTGCTGAATAAATTACTGAAGAGCATCAAGGCATGTCGCAAAGAGCTTGCGAACTTGTGCGACGAACTACAGCTGCCTCCATTTGAGGTAGATTTAAATGAATATGTTTTTGCCACAGGCTGTAGAGCCTCCAGTGGGTGATGGGATTTGAGTTGCATGTTTGTGAGGTATCATTCTCTCACTTTTTTCTCTAGTTAAGGACATTTTCTCAATTCCAACTGAAAGTTTTCTTTTGTTATAAAAGAAATTGCTGCAATTTAAGCTGCACATTATTCCGCTTGAAATAAGACAGTTCCTCACGTGACAAGTAGAGCTGAAACGATTCCTCGAGTACCTCGAATAATTCGAGTACAAAAAATCCTCGAGTCAAATTCTCTGCCTCGAGGATTCGTTTAATTCATATTTAATTAATTTATGGCTTTGCAATCGCCCGGGGTCATGTTTCACCCGGACCGAAATAAGTGACGCACATGCCCACTGGACTGAATGCACACGCGAGTAGCGAATATAACTTAACTTTCTCTTAAGCCATGGCGGACAACTTTAACCCCGGTGGAGTGCGAAAAAGACAGAAAATGTCAAAGTTGTGGAACCATTTTTCACGTCGTAAGGTGGAAAACGTAGTCCAGTTTAAATACAGTAAAATGGATTTAGCCTAGCACAACACCACATCCTCCATGCTGCAGCACCTGTAAATGTCACTTCTGCAAGCGGACTCGGAGCCTCTACAAGATAATGCTTTTTAGCCTGTTTTTCTATATTTTCTGCGGACTCTGCGACTTTTTCGTTTGTAGCGCTCAGTTTCAGCTCACACCGTACATCTGGTAGCAACACGTCGGGCTTAAAATGTGCTAAAAATAGCAGTTTTTACACAACACGTCGGACTTTTTACTGTGTTATTGATGTCTGTTGTCCCTCGGGGTTTCTGCAGGAGGACACGGGTATTTATGAGTGGCGGAGGAAAACGAAAGAAAGTAAATACATGTTTTGTGATCAGTATAATTTGACAAAACCACAGCAAACATGCTTTTGGCAATCCTTGTTAGTGTGAGAAAAAAAGTGTGGAAATTAAAACGGACGTGTGTTAATAGGGAAACAGCCGGCGAGCTGTTTGCGCCGTGAGCGGTTCTGGTTCTGTTTGGGCCGCAGCCGCTCGCAGCGTTATCCTCCTAGTTTTTGTCTGACTTGCAGGCTAGCAGATTCTCGCACGAGGGGAAAATCGGCTCAGGTTTACTTATTTTTTGCACAGGCATTTGTTTACTGTGAAGTAAAGTTGAAGTGCTGAAGTAATGCAAACTAATTTTGAATAAAACTTGAATAACTGGCAATTGCTTGCTCATTTTAAGAGGTCTTTCATAATTATAACATGCTATTTGATATCAAATCAAATCACTTTTATTGTCACGTCACATGTGCAGGTACACTGGTACAGTACATGCGAGTGAAATTCTTGTGTGCGAGTTTCACAGCAATAGTTGTGCAAAAATACAGTAATGTAAAAACAAGTAAAATATAAAAATGGCTAATCTAAGTATACAAATGAATAAAGTAAACAATAAGATAAGAGATATAAAATGTACAGAGGTTGGCATGTGCAAAACAGTGGCATTAATGTACAGTATGGAGCGTGTAATGTTGGAACTTGGTGGAGCTGGCGACGAGGCAGCCATACTCGGCGCCATCTTGGCTCATCAATATATGATATAAAGGTTTACAAACACAAAAGGGTAATTTATTAGAGTACTCGATTAATCGAAAAAAAGATTCGATAGAGTACTCGATTACAAAAATATTCGATAGCTGCAGCCCTAGTGACAAGATAAAAATGATGTAACGGGAGTTGCTTTTGTTTGGACCTGTGATTGTCATGCCTCAGATGACTGGGGACCTTCACCTTCCTGCCTTCATTTGCATAAACGCTTGGGAATGCTATTTTATGTTGTGAACGCAAAACAAATCTGTTTATAAATTCTTGAAGTGAGCCAAGCAGACAAAAACTGCACTGAACTTTAGAGCCACAAGCTGTTTGAATGATTAAATATATCCAGACACATGCCGTCATGTATTTGGGGAAATGTGTGATGGCCTGAAAATACATTAATGGGATACATAAGATGTTTTCTTATCAAAAGCAAATGACTGGTTTCTGTTATTGACTGTTTATTGACTGTTTAGTATTCTGTGCAGGAAGAGGAAGGCTGCAGCACTCTGCAAACAGAGAAGAACAATCGGACCCGTCTGGAGGCGCTGAAGAAGCAGAAGAAACAGAGGATGGAAGAGCTTAAAGGCCTCGTCGCTAAAGACCGTGAGCTGTGTAATGTCATGTGCACCTCCCCCTTTAGTATCGACCAGAGTGCCGTCCCATCGATGCAACAGCTAGAGGCCTATCGCACCTATCTCGCCGATCTCACCAAAGAGAAGGTTTGCCCTTTTTCTCAGTTATTCACTAGTTTTTTATGGGGGGGGTTATAATATTTTAATCTTTACAGGAGTGTCGTCTTGAAGAATTTGTGACCATCAGAAAGGAGGTCATTGCTTGTATGGAGGATTTGGAACAGCATCCGGAGACCAGTTTTGAAATGGATGTGGTCTGTGAGGATGTGGATGCGTTTTGCCTCTCCAACGACAACATCGCGGCTCTGAAACTTGTTCTCAGTCAGGTCAGTGTCTTCATCTCTTTATTTTGTCACTGAGCAACATGAAACCAGTTGTATAATTTTGTTTCTTCCAGTTGCACGAGCGCAAGGCCGAGAATGAGCTCGTCTGCGCTGGTTTCCGGACAAAGATCCAGGAATTGTGGCAGAGGCTTCAGATTCCTCAGGAGGAGAGGGAAGCTCTCTCTGAACACATGGTCAACTCGAAGAAGAAAAACATTGAAGCTGTAAGAAGTCCACCTGAGGTTGTTTCAGGAAATACATCTACATTTTAACAGCTTTCTTCTGTTTCCAGCTCCAGTCAGAGATCCAGCGCTTAGAAGCGCTGAAAATCCAAAGCATGCAAAGAATCATCAAGGTCATCAGGGAGGAACTCGCTCTTCTGTGGAAGAAATGTTTCTACAGCCTTGAACAGCAGGAGGCTTTTCTTCCATATCATGATGGTAAATTCTTAAAGTTCACGTTTGACACCTGTACAAGCTGCAGACTTCACCAGGAGGACCACAAGTTCAGTGTTTCTTCTCTTGATAGATGATTTCACCGAGGAGCTTCTCAGCAGACATGAGGAGGAGGTCAGACGCTTGCAGAGGTACTACGAGCAACATAAGCAACTCTTTGAAGGAGTCTCAAAATGGCAGAACAGCTGGACCTTGTACCTGGAGCTTGATGTGAGCACACCAGTCTAAAACATGCTGAGAATCATTCTATGTGTGTGTGTTTGTTAATAAGTGTGTTTTAAAATATTAGAAAAAGAATAGCGATCCATCAAGGTTCAACAACAGAGGGGGGAACCTTTTAAAAGAAGAAAGGCAAAGAACCGACCTGCAGAAAAGTCTGCCTAAGGTGGGGTTACGTTAAGGTCAATTCTCTTCAGGTAAATGGAAAAGAAAAGTGCTTCTTTACGGCTTTAATTCTAATATATGTTGGATTGTTGTGTTAAACGTTTGAGTCAGGTGGAGAAGATTCTGAAGGCTCAGATTGAGGCCTGGGAAGAAGAGCATGGCAAAGAATTCCTGGTGGGTGGCCAGAGGTTTCTGGAATATGTGCATCAGCAGTGGGAGAAGCACCATGAGGAGAAGGAGAAGGAAAAACTTGAAAGAGTAGGTTACTGTTTTTTTTTATTATCATTTTCAAAGAAAATAAATCCATATTTGTTTTCAGAACATTATTAACCATTTGATTTTCATTAAATAGCAACTAAAGAAAAGTATACAAACGAAAGAGGAGATGCTGTTCGGGGCAACGGCGAGGACTCCATCTAAACGCCAGATGCCAGGAACTCCAGTAGCTGCAAAACTGAGAAAGGTAGGGAGTCCTCTGCAGGTTGTTCATGACACTGACTCAGTTTACCTGTGAGCGTAAAATTTACCCACGTTTTTTCTTGTATTTAGTTAAATGGCACCTCAACCATCTCTACTCCGAACAGCTTCCTTAGTCCCAGCCTCAGTGGAGCCATGTGCCAGTCCTTAATGCGGAAACCACCTTTGTCTGCCAGCAAGGTACACTCCATCATTTTTATGTTTACTTTAGTTCGTCTTCTTTATGTAGTGCTCATAATATCCCCTTTGAAACATCTCCTGTAATCCTCATATCCATAGCAGATGTCTATATATACAGTGGGGCAAAAAGGTATTTAGCCAGCCACCGATTGTGCAAGTTCTCCCACTTAAAATGATGACAGCGGTCAGTAATTTTCATCATAGGTACACTTCAACTGTGAGAGACAGAATGTGGAAAAAAAAATCCATGAATTCACATGGCAGGATTTTTAAAGAATTTACCGTAAATCCTTTAATACAGGCCCGGGCCTGTATTTGACTCAAGCTCATCAAGCTCCAGGCCTTTATTGGAAGGAGGGTCAGTATTAGAGGCAGGCCTCTATTTATTTGAGCAAAATGAACTAATGGTTCGCTGGAGTTTTTGACAATTAATATTGCTCCCACATTTTCAAAGTTAAACACATTTCTTTTAACAACGGTAGTTTCTGCTTCAGCCATCTCCCCCCTCCCCCTGCGCAGCAGCCGCAAACTCACTGATGCACCTGCAGCCTCTCAGAGTTCCTGCTGCTCTAAACATTAAAATAATTATTTCATTTTCTGTTCTTCACTTCTGATTACCTTCAATGGTGTCTGTTTGTTGCAACCACCAGGTACAAAAACTAACTTGTTTTTATTTGACTATTTTTCTGTCCTGTCTGTTTATTATCTTCCTGCATCTCCTCTCAATCCTAAAGAGAAACTGCTACCTGGGTTCATATTCACCTTATGAGTTACCTTTGAACTGCAGTTCTAAAAGATCTACCGACCGCAAAAACAGCGGAGTGCTCGCTGCTTGCCAGCCGCATCAGTGATCAGTGCGTCACCGGATGACAAGTTGATGCGCCCCGCTCCACAGCGAAATGCATCAGGCGCAAATAAAAGACAGAAAACATCAAAGGAAATGTACCAACATGAACGATCGCGTGCTAAATAATTTGGCAACACCTGATTGTTACTGTGGCCGTGCTCAGGAGGCAGATTACCGACCGCAAAAACAGCGGAGTGCTCGCTGCTTGCCGGCCGCATCAGTGATCAGTGCGTCGGAGGACAAGGTGATGTGCCCCGCTCCACAGCAGCGAAACACATCAGGCGCAAATAAAAGACAGAAAACATCAAAGGAAATGAACCGACAAACGATTGCGTGTTAAATAATTTGGCAACACCTGATTGTTACTGTGGCCGGGCTCAGGAGGCAGATCCGACCGCAAAAACAGCGGAGATAAAAGACAGAAAACATTAAAGGAAATGAACCGACATGAACGATCGCGTGTCAGTACCGACGCTCTGGCAGAGCGCGTTGCCCCCCCCAGCGCAGGAGCTTGTCACCTGCTGACAGCAGACTGCTGTCTTTTCCGAGGGCTGCATCTTGCCGGTCATTATCACATGACAGCGACTAGTCGACGACAGGCATAAAAAGTCACTATAGTGAAGTCGACTAGTTCATACAACCCCTGCTACTGCTCCCCAGAGTGTTCTGCAGCATAATCAGCACGTTCTCTTTGAACTTGATATCAAATTTTCACCTCCTCTTCGTCTCTGCACAGTTAAAGTTACCCTCGCGGTCTATCACTGGCAAATCAAAAGTGAGACGATGACACAACCGCCCCCCCGTACTTGCTTGTTACCACATTCCACCCGGCCACAATAAGAGACCGGCCATTATTCACCTCCGCTGACTCCGACACCGGCCAAAATTGGAGACCCGACCTTTAATTGAATACCGGCCTGTATTAGAGGATTTACGGTATTTGTAAATCAGGGTGGAAAATAAGTATTTGGTCAATAACAAAAATTCAACTCAACACTTCGTAACATAACCTTTGTTGGCAATAACAGAGGTCAAACGATTACTATAGGTCTTTACCAGGCTTGCATACACAGTAGCTGGTATTTTGGCCCATTCCTCCATGCAGATCTTCTCGAGAGCAATGATGTTTTGGGGCTGCGCAACACGGACTTTCAACTCCCTCGACAGATTTTCTATGGGGGTGAGTTCTGGAGACTGGCTAGGCCACTCCAGGACTTTCAAATGCTTCTTACGGAGCCACTCCAGGGTGTCCGCGGGGTTTTAAAAAGTATTAAAAAGTGATAAATAAAAATAGTCAAATTTAAGGCCATTAAAAGTGTTAAATTTGGTCTCAGAGGTATTATTTTTTCCAAGTTAGGTATTATTTTTTTTCAGACTAGCAGGTGTCGTATTCTGAACATCGACAGAGAAATATATTCCGAATGAAATGTTTTGAACGATTATAAAAATAAAACAAGCCGATTATTTGCTCCTCCCACTTGAGCTGCCCTGAGTTACAAATGAAGCGCTCCGTTGCCAACTTAGCGACTTTGACGCTATTTCCAACAGCTTTTCAGACCCCCTTCTTGACTTTTTAAATCTTAAAAGTACCTAGCGAACACCTCAGAAACATCTCTGGTAACCCTTAGCTACTTTCTGGATAACTATCGTCGACATTTCCTGCTGCAGGTTAGCTAAACACTCCGCCTGCGCTCCGGACCGTTCTTCAGGACATTAGGAAAGGGAATTATGTAGTGATGTGTCAGTCGCTAAAGAAACGGCTCTCGGAGCCGGCTCCCTGTTGGAGTAACCAGAGTGAGTGACGCACACCGTACCTGCGGGCTCCTGAGCCACTAAAAACGGCTAAGTGTGCGCGTGCGGCGCGCTAAACACACATGCAGTTTGCCCCGATTGCTGTGAGACCGGGTTGGGGGGTGGGGGGTGCAGCTGTGGTTGGGACAATTATTACATTAACTGATGGACTTGTAAATAAATAGTTTATAAATAAGGTAGAAATAAGTTCCTCACGCTGATAACTAATAACTAATCTCTCTGAGGACACGGTGCTAGTGCACTCTCCTACAGCACCTTGACATGACTCAATAAATGTTATGCAACATTTTGTGAACATTAATTTATTTGCATTTATTTGTTATAAATGCCACTGTATAATTCTTGCTGTCAGTATTTGCAAGATATTGGTATTTGGGTCTGTACGGGTTAGACTTAAATGAGTTAAACCAAGGTCTATAGCCCTTGGGTCATAAACTATGAGCTATAAGTATATTGGTCTTTTTATACTGGGAATCAGGAGTTCTTTTAGTGATCATCTTGTTTCTTGTTTATTTTTGCCCTGATTGTGCCCTGAGCAGTTTTATGACTGAATAAAAATAAATTAAAAAAATCTACATAAATTGAATAATCGTCTTAAATAATCGAGATCTCAATTTCAGTCACAATAATCGTGATTATTGTTTTTGCCATAATTGAGCAGCCCTACTTTAGCATATCCGGTCACATTATGATGACGTCATATTCAGCGGTCGTTCTGCATCATTTCAGGCCCCGTGGTCAACTGTCTGAACCGCTGAAAAGAAGTGCCTGGCATATTTTCTAAGTAAAATAAATATGCGCAATACGTTGTCAACATCAGTGAGTCTCTAAGTCTATGCTTTTTGTATGTTATATATGTTAAAATATGTGTAAATAGGTCGCTGATTAACACTTGCAATTTAGTGTTGTGATGGTTTTAAAAAAATTCTGAAGGTAGTAAAAAAAAGTATTAAAAAGTAGTAAATTTTACTTAAGGATTGCTGTATATACCCTGCACTCCTTTGTTGCCCGGGCGGTGTGTTTGGGATCATTGTCGTGTTGGAAGACCCAGCCACGTTTCATCTTCAAAGCTCTCACTGATGGAAGGAGGTTTTGGCTCAGAATCTCACGATACATGGCCCCATTCATTCTGTCCTTCACACGGATCAGTCGTCCTGTCCCCTTAGCAGAAAAACAGCCCCAAAGCATGATGTTCCCACCCCCATGCTTCACAGTAGGTATGGTGTTCTTGGGATGCAACTCAGTATTCTTCTTCCTCCAAACACGACGAATTGAGTTTATACCAAAAAGTTCTACTTTGGTTTCATCTGACCACATGACCTTCTCCCAATCCTCTGCTGTATCATCCATGTGCTCTCTGGCAAACTTCAGACGGGCCTGGACATGCACTGGCTTCAGCAGCGGAACACGTCTGGCACTGCAGGATTTGATTCCCTGCCGTTGTAGTGTGTTACTGATGGTGACCTTTGTTACTGTGGTCCCAGCTCTCTGCAGGTCATTCACCAGGTCCCCCCGTGTGGTTCTGGGATTCTTGCTCACCGTTCTCATGATCATTTTGACCCCACGGGATGAGATCTTGCGTGGAGCCCCAGATCGAGGGAGATTATCAGTGGTCTTGTATGTCTTCCATTTTCTGATAATTGCTCCCACAGTTGATTTTTTCACACCAAGCTGCTTGCCTATTGTAGATTCACTCTTCCCAGTCTGGTGCAGGTCTACAATTCTTTTCCTGGTGTCCTTCGAAAGCTCTTTGGTCTTGGCCATAGTGGAGTTTGGAGTCTGACTGTTTGAGGCTGTGGACAGGTGTCTTTTATACAGATAATGAGTTCAGACAGGTGCCATTAATACAGGTAACGAGTGGAGGACAGAAAAGCTTCTTAAAGAAGTTGTAACAGGTCTGTGAGAGCCAGAGATTTTCCTTGTTTGAAGTGACCAAATACTTATTTTCCACCCTGATTTACAAATAAATTCTTTAAAAATCCTGCCATGTGAATTCATGGATTTTTTTCACATTCTGTCTCTCACAGTTGAAGTGTACCTATGATGAAAATTACTGACCTCTGTCATCATTTTAAGTGGGAGAACTTGCACAATCGGTGGCTGACTAAATACTTTTTTGCTCCACTGTACCTTAATAAGGGTTAACCGTGTGTTGTGTTTGATCATAATTCTTATGTTGGTTGTGATGAGACCCAAATAAACACTGTAACTGTGTCCTTGCAGGGTCTTGGACTGCGAACACCAGGACGTGGAAAGATGCCCCGCATGTTGGAGCGAAACAAGGAGAACATCTGCCATGTGAGCAGAAATCCTCCCTGTGACACACCAAAGCTTCAGGAACCCCCCAATCAAACATTTAACTCCATCGCTGGCTCCTACTCGGAGTTTACGGTAAATTAGGTTTTATTTACATCGGTGTCTTAAAGGGAGCCAAAAGAATGAATATTTACAGATTATTTTAGACCAATTTTAAACACATTCATAAAGATCAAAGTTCCTCTTGAGTCATTTCAAAATAAAAAATAAAAACTTCATGAATCTGAATTTTAAAAACTTAAGTAATTATGAAAAGAACTAGAGGCCGACCGATATATCGGGCTAATATATTAATTTTTTTTCTATATCGGCTGAAATTATTTTTAAAAGCAGACATTTAAAAAAAAATTAAATCGGGCACCTGTGTAGACAACTGCAGCTGTCGGTACAAGATCGGCTCGGGGTCCTTCGACTGCCGATGACGTCAAAGTACGGCAAACCCACTCGGTCAAAATGCACTACACATCTATACTGTTGGAAAGAATTTAGCAGTTTCATTATTAAAATAATGTTAAGACGTACGTTTGTGTTTATAATGGTATTTGTAAAATAAAACACTATTTTATTCATAATGTTGAACTCCTCTTTGAGCACATCCCTTGAAGGATCATAGGTATTAGCAACACCTGTGAAATTGTATTTGCAGGAAAGAAGTGTGTCCCTTTTATTGAAGTATTTTGTGTTTAGAGTTTGTGACGTCTTGTCCATGCGTAGTTCAGTTACGCTCATAGCTGCTAGCCAAAACTCTGGAGTTAAAAGTTTTCTGGCTTTACTAAAATACCTGTCTGTACTTATTTGATTGATGGTAGTTTTACTTTCTGTTAGACTCCAAATGTAATCATTCAGCACGTTTCTAATTCATAATTTGTAAGAATGTAATCAGTGATATTAGCATTAGCATTCCTATGGGTTTTTCCACGAATATCAGCATTGCGCTAACCACTCGCTGCCAAATTGCAGCCTTTGCGATTAGAAAATCTCCTTTTGTCACATCGCAATTTAATTGCACATGCAGTTAATCGTTCAGCCCTAATATACATGCAGCTCAATGCTAAAAGTGAATTTTCAAAGAGGTAATGATGGATTTCTTTGTAAAAGTTGTCCATCTTTCCAACAGAAAGATTTGCCTGGACCTACGTAATTCCGTAAGGTTCATGTTCAGCCAATCAACTACTTTGACGTCATCGGCAATCGACGGACCCCGAGCCGATCTTGCACCCGAGCAGATCTTGTACCGACACCGCCACTACTAGACTGAAGAAAAGATCGGCCTTAATAATCTTCTTTAGATGTCGTCCATCGGCAACAGAATTCTTTCAAATCGGAATCGGCTTTTAAAAAACCTGTATCGGTCGGCATCTAAAATGAACATTTTCTCTATGACACTGAACTGAACAAACTACAAATAAATATATTAGCATTAGAGATTACTCCAAAAACGTAGTATTAAGTGATAGAATAAGTACTAGGAAAGCTGATTATCCAGTTAATGAAATGTGAATTTGTCGTTGCAGAGAGACCTCACCAAAGCCTCCAAATCTCATGTCCCATCTGGCCTGTTGAACTCCACCGTCGACTTTAAGTGACGTTAAAAAGCATCAGGAGTTGTGGACAAGAGAACTTGTAAACAAAATGTTATGAGGTTTTTTTTTTTTTTTTTTTTGTCCTGTTTGAAAAATGCTTTCTTTCAGGGGTTCTGTTTGGTGTGTGTGTGTGTGTGTGTATATTTCTATGGTTTTAAATATTTTACTGCTTCTTTATTTACTTTTAGATCTTTTTCACCTGATGCATTTTATCTGTGGTTCCACTTTATTATAGTAGCTCCATGGCTTTCCCTTTGAACCTGAAATGAAAGCTGCGTTTTTAGTCACATTGAGAATAAAGCTTTTTAAATAACTGGTGATCAGATTGTTTATACTCCAGTGGGTTGTATTCATGCTGCTGATGGCGTCTCTAAGCCATTCGGGTCATGAGTTCTTCTAGAGCCCTCTCACGGTGATTTTCATGAACAAGCAGCACTTCTTTGATTGCACTTTGCTGGAAGCCCATCTCGTTAAACTGGGCTAACAGGTGCAGGAACTCGGCAGCCTGAAACACAAATATAAATGTTACTTGTGTGCATACAGTTTAGATGCATAGCTGCTTTTTAAAATCTAAACTGTTAGAAACGTTGGGATCACCTTGCTCTCACAGTTCTGAAACATTTCCAACGCCTCTTCCACCTGTGCTTCATCATAACCCAGCTGACAGAGATGCTCACTAGAAACCAGGTAATTTAGGATCTAATAACGGGGAGGGAAATTGTTTATGGACCAGTTTTCCAAAGTGTAAATGGCATCTTTCTCATGCATTAGGTTATCAAGTGATGAGAGCCCTACCTTCTCTGGGCTCCGATATCCTGTTTTCTGCAGCGCCAGAATAGCTGTGCGTAACGGGTATCCCCTCTCTGTGATGGTTTCAAGTATCTCCCGCTCCTCCTGGCTGAGAGCTGTCAGAAGTTCTGCTGCAGAGTCGAGCAAAACCCCGTTGGAGGTGCTGGCTGTCAGGACCTGATCAGGGAAAAATGATTCATGTTGGAGTAGTAGAAAGAAAACTCCTCAGTGGTCTATATTACTTCATTCATAAAATTACATTTTTTCTGCGGTTTTTGACCACAGGTCCTGCAGAGGAGGGTCTCTGTTGCTGGAGTTTGGATGATCTGGCAGGAGGTGTGTTTTGGGAGTGTTTTCTACTCTGGGAACTCTGCCTCTTGCTGTTTTTCTGTCCCTGACAGAGAGAGCTGTGCTGTCCCAGGGCCCGCAGAGGCAGCCTGCAGTCTGGGAAAGATGGAGTACCCCTGTGACCCTGGATGATCTGGGGTGTATCGGGTTTAGCTCTGTGTGAGGGGTAGCCCAGGTGCACGTCCTTGACTCTGGACACCAGGTCTCTGGGTGCAGCACTGTGGGGTCGCTCTCTGCTGTTGACGCGATGAAGAACACCTTCAGCAGTGGTTCCATCGTCTTCATCAGAATCGGTTATGAGAAACTTGACGGTGCGATGGCGCAGCCAGAGAATGTCTGCAGAGCTCAGACTGTGGCTGCGAGCCCGAGGCCTGGGGACCCACAGATCACTGTCCCTGAGGCTGAACTTGTGAGCCCTCTGGGGGCTGCTGGGCATCAGCCAGATGGGAGGACAGGATGGAGAGACTGGCCACTGACCGGTTAAAATCCATTGCTCCAGGCTGAATCCATACTGCAAAAAAACATTTGCTTTAAGAAACAAAACATCCTGGAATGCATCAAATGTGTTTAAGGACCACTGATAAACACCTGGGTAGCTTCAAAGCCAAATAAAGAAATTGTGAGGCAGTAAACAGATCAGCAATGTCTGTATTCTACAGCAGCTAGAAAGACATTCATCTAAATGTATAACTTCCGTTTCTTGCAGAATCTGATGGCAGTCTGGAGCAGTAATCTCTGGAGGACTCAAAAGCTGCACTTCAACCCCCAACAAACCCATGGGGGTCTGAAAAGGGACGTCCTCTAAAATGTTGATCACAGCACCAACAAATAACCTGCATTCGAAAAATCAACAAAAAGTCAGGTGTTTCTCGTTACAGGCCGTGCTTTTGTTGCAAATGTCTCACCTGTCTGGATCCACAGCCGCCTCAGTCGTCAGGGGATGCTGGGAGTGAATCAGACAATCAGTGTACGTGATAAAGCTGATTACTAAGCCTCTGACATCAGCTGAGGGTTTGTTTACCTCAGAGGCCTGGTCAGATCTGCCATACAGAGATTCATAATAACGCCCTGTGTGTATATTTACTATTAAAGTATGTTTAAATGCTTATATCCAGTGAAAAAGACCCAACGGTGCTGCAAATTGTATTCTAAATCAGTGTTCTGTCTGTATGAGTTTCCATTGAAGTCCCATGTGTTCACACAGGAGGATTATGGAAATGCTGATGTATCAGTTCTCCAAGCACTTATTCTATCACTCTATCTATTGTATTTTTATACAAATATTACGAGGATAAACAATAAGTAAAATAACCAACTTTTTTTCTGTAAGGAAGACAAAACACCAGAATGTTACATATTATTAAAATAAAATGAAATAAAATATGAAGGGCATGTCATAAAACTCCACACCTGAAGATGGCGGTATGGTCGTGAGTCACGCGGGGAAAAAACTCATGACGTTTACACACTGGGCCAATTAGCGCCGAGGTATTTTTCCGTGCAAATTTTAAATTTAGTTGACCAACTAACGAGGAGGTCGGAAATAAATAGTCTTCGTTTTTAAACTCGAAGCGCTGTTTACATTTGAGAAAAAGATTTTATTTCACCGTGGTTGGCTACATTGGTGACATGAGACTGAGGTGAGTGGTTTACTGCCGTAGATATTTCATATAAAGCCTTCATTTTGAATCGGTTGACGTTGATTGTTAGCTTGCTAACACTGACGGGCTAACAGCTGTTTGCAGTAAGGATAATTAAATGATACGTATCACAGTTGACATTATTGAGCTTAGTTTCCTTCTTCAAATAGGAAAAGCAAATGTTGGGCTGCTGTTGGATTATTTGTGTATTAACTTGATCATCTTGCTCCAGGGTTCTGTCTTGATCTCATTCCACAGCCACTTGTATTAGGCGCAAATATTTCACTATCTGTTCACTTAAGCATCCCCATGACTGCAGTCATTGTGCCACGTAGTTTTTGATTTCTGATCCAATCAGGAATTGCCACAGAGGGGTTGAAATGCCCCCACAGGGGTATATTAGGCGATGTCAGCCATGTAAAGGCACTTCTGGAGACCTCCAGAGAGTCAGCAATTATTTTTGTACCCTGTGCTTCTTCTCTGCTTTTTATACATGAACCAAGATAAAATTGAATCACTGCCTCATCGTCTTTATTAACGAAGCTCTGTGATGCTTCTCAGTGTTAAACCTGGTTTTTCGACTTGACATTTCAACTTTAATCATGCTTATAAGTTGTTGCTTTTTCCCAGTGAGGTTCACGCAGCAGAGTCTGTGGCCTACCTGAACAGGTCGCTGGCCAGGCTGCAGGATATTTGGGAAGAAATTGGGATTCCTGATGAACAGCGAGTTCAGAGGACAAATGCTGTTCATAAACACACCAAGGTGAGTCCCACGGCCACATGTTAGTTGATTACTAAGGTTGTTCCTGAGTCCCTCAGATCTAATACGACAGCTCGTTTGGTTCTCTTTGCCTGCAGAGTTTACTGGACAAGATTATCGAGGAAGAAAAGAGCCTGAAGAATAAATTACTGAAGAGCATCGAGGCATGTCGCAAAGAGCTTGCGAACTTGTGCGACGAACTACAGCTGCCTCCATTTGAGGTAGATTTAAATGAATATGTTTTTGCCACAGGCTGTAGAGCCTCCAGTGGGTGATGGGATTTGAGTTGCATGTTTGTGAGGTATCATTCTCTCACTTTTTTCTCTAGTTAAGGACATTTTCTCAATTCCAACTGAAAGTTTTCTTTTGTTATAAAAGAAATTGCTGCAATTTAAGCTGCACATTATTCCGCTTGAAATAAGACAGTTCCTCACGTGACAAGATAAAAATGATGTAACGGGAGTTGCTTTTGTTTGGACCTGTGATTGTCATGCCTCAGATGACTGGGGACCTTCACCTTCCTGCCTTCATTTGCATAAACGCTTGGGAATGCTATTTTATGTTGTGAACATAAAACAAATCTGTTTATAAATTCTTGAAGTGAGCCAAGCAGACAAACACTGCACTGAACTTTAGAGCCACAAGCTGTTTGAATGATTAAATATATCCAGACACATGCCGTCATGTATTTGGGGAAATGTGTGATGGCCTGAAAATACATTAATGGGATACATAAGATGTTTTCTTATCAAAAGCAAATGACTGGTTTCTGTTATTGACTGTTTAGTATTCTGTGCAGGAAGAGGAAGGCTGCAGCACTCTGCAAACAGAGAAGAACAATCGGACCCGTCTGGAGGCGCTGAAGAAGCAGAAGAAACAGAGGATGGAAGAGCTTAAAGGCCTCGTCGCTAAAGACCGTGAGCTGTGTAATGTCATGTGCACCTCCCCCTTTAGTATCGACCAGAGTGCCGTCCCATCGATGCAACAGCTAGAGGCCTATCGCACCTATCTCGCCAATCTCACCAAAGAGAAGGTTTGCCCTTTTTCTCAGTTATTCACTCTAGTTTTTTATGGGGGGGTTATAATATTTTAATCTTTACAGGAGTGTCGTCTTGAAGAATTTGTGACCATCAGAAAGGAGGTCATTGCTTGTATGGAGGATTTGGAACAGCATCCGGAGACCAGTTTTGAAATGGATGTGGTCTGTGAGGATGTGGATGCGTTTTGCCTCTCCAACGACAACATCGCGGCTCTGAAACTTGTTCTCAGTCAGGTCAGTGTCTTCATCTCTTTATTTTGTCACTGAGCAACATGAAACCAGTTGTATAATTTTGTTTCTTCCAGTTGCACGAGCGCAAGGCCGAGAATGAGCTCGTCTGCGCTGGTTTCCGGACAAAGATCCAGGAATTGTGGCAGAGGCTTCAGATTCCTCAGGAGGAGAGGGAAGCTCTCTCTGAACACATGGTCAACTCGAAGAAGAAAAACATTGAAGCTGTAAGAAGTCCACCTGAGGTTGTTTCAGGAAATACATCTACATTTTAACAGCTTTCTTCTGTTTCCAGCTCCAGTCAGAGATCCAGCGCTTAGAAGTGCTGAAAATCCAAAGCATGCAAAGAATCATCAAGGTCATCAGGGAGGAACTCGCTCTTCTGTGGAAGAAATGTTTCTACAGCCTTGAACAGCAGGAGGCTTTTCTTCCATATCATGATGGTAAATTCTTAAAGTTCACGTTTGACACCTGTACAAGCTGCAGACTTCACCAGGAGGACCACAAGTTCAGTGTTTCTTCTCTTGATAGATGATTTCACCGAGGAGCTTCTCAGCAGACATGAGGAGGAGGTCAGACGCTTGCAGAGGTACTACGAGCAACATAAGCAACTCTTTGAAGGAGTCTCAAAATGGCAGAACAGCTGGACCTTGTACCTGGAGCTTGATGTGAGCACACCAGTCTAAAACATGCTGAGAATCATTCTATGTGTGTGTGTTTGTTAATAAGTGTGTTTTAAAATATTAGAAAAAGAATAGCGATCCATCAAGGTTCAACAACAGAGGGGGGAACCTTTTAAAAGAAGAAAGGCAAAGAACCGACCTGCAGAAAAGTCTGCCTAAGGTGGGGTTACGTTAAGGTCGATTCTCTTCAGGTAAATGGAAAAGAAAAGTGCTTCTTTACGGCTTTAATTCTAATATATGTTGGATTGTTGTGTTAAACGTTTGAGTCAGGTGGAGAAGATTCTGAAGGCTCAGATTGAGGCCTGGGAAGAAGAGCATGGCAAAGAATTCCTGGTGGGTGGCCAGAGGTTTCTGGAATATGTGCATCAGCAGTGGGAGAAGCACCATGAGGAGAAGGAGAAGGAAAAACTTGAAAGAGTAGGTTACTGTTTTTTTTTATTATTATTTTCAAAGAAAATAAATCCATATTTGTTTTCAGAACATTATTAACCATTTGATTTTCATTAAATAGCAACTAAAGAAAAGTATACAAACGAAAGAGGAGATGCTGTTCGGGGCAACGGCGAGGACTCCATCTAAACGCCAGATGCCAGGAACTCCAGTAGCTGCAAAACTGAGAAAGGTAGGGAGTCCTCTGCAGGTTGTTCATGACACTGACTCAGTTTACCTGTGAGCGTAAAATTTACCCACGTTTTTTCTTGTATTTAGTTAAATGGCACCTCAACCATCTCTACTCCGAACAGCCTCCTTAGTCCCAGCCTCAGTGGAGCCATGTGCCAGTCCTTAATGCAGAAACCACCTTTGTCTGCCAACAAGGTACACTCCATCATTTTTATGTTTACTTTAGTTCGTCTTCTTTATGTAGTGCTCATAATATCCCCTTTGAAACATCTCCTGTAATCCTCATATCCATAGCAGATGTCTATATATACCTTAATAAGGGTTAACCGTGTGTTTGGTGTGATCATAATTCTTATGATGGTTGTGATGAGACCCAAATAAACACTGTAACTGTGTCCTTGCAGGGTCTTGGACTGCGAACACCAGGACGTGGAAAGATGCCCCTCATGTTGGAGCAAAACAAGGAGAACATCTGCCATGTGAGCAGAAATCCTCCCTGTGACGCACCAAAGCTTCAGGAACCCCCCAATCAAACATTTAACTCCATCGCTGGCTCCTACTCTGAGTTTACGGTAAATTAGGTTTTATTTACATCGGTGTCTTAAAGGGAGCCAAAAGAATGAATATTTACAGATTATTTTATACCAATTTTAAACACATTCATAAAGATCAAAGTTCCTCTTGAGTCATTTCAAAATAAAGAAATAATAAAAACTTCATGAATCTGAATTTTAAAAACTTAAGTAATTATGAAAAGAACTAGAGGCCGACCGATATATCGGGCTGATCTATTAATTTTCTTTTTCTATATCGGTTGAAATTATTTTTAAAAGCAGACATTAAAAAAATATATTTTAAATCGGGCACCTGTGTAGACAATTGCCGCCACTACTAGACTGAAGAAAAGATCGGCCTTAATAATCTGCTTTAGATGTCGTCCATCGGCAACAAAATTCTTTAAAATCGGAATCGGCTTTAAAAAAAACCTGTATCGGTCGGCATCTAAAATGAACATTTTCTCTATGACACTGAACTGAACAAATAAATATATTAGCATTAGAGATTACTCCAAAAACGTAGTATTAAGTGATAGAATAAGTACTAGGAAAGCTGATTATCCGGTTAATGAAATATGAATTTGTCGTTGCAGAGAGACCTCACCAAAGCCTCCAAATCTCATGTCCCATCTGGCCTGTTGAACTCCACCGTCGACTTTAAGTGACGTTAAAAAGCATCAGGAGTTGTGGACAAGAGAACTTGTAAACAGAATGTTGAGGTTTTTTTTTTTCCCCCTGTTTGAAAAATGCTTTCTTTCAGGGGTTCTGTTCGGTGTGTGTGTGTGTGTGTGTGTATTTCTATGGTTTTAAATATTTTACTGCTGCTTTATTTACTTTTAGATCTTTTTCACCTGATGCATTTTATCTGTGGTTCCACTTTATTATAGTAGCTCCATGGCTTTCCCTTTGAACCTGAAATGAAAGCTGCGTTTTTAGTCACATTGAGAATAAAGCTTTTTAAATAACTGGTGATCAGATTGTTTATACTCCAGTGGGTTGTATTCATGCTGCTGATGGCGTCTCTAAGCCATTCGGGTCATGAGTTCTTCTAGAGCCCTCTCACGGTGATTTTCATGAACAAGCAGCACTTCTTTGATTGCACTTTGCTGGAAGCCCATCTCGTTAAACTGGGCTAACAGGTGCAGGAACTCGGCAGCCTGAAACACAAATATAAATGTTACTTGTGTGCATACAGTTTAGATGCATAGGTGCTTTTTAAAATCTAATCTGTTAGAAACGTTGGGATCACCTTGCTCTCACAGTTCTGAAACATTTCCAACGCCTCTTCCACCTGTGCTTCATCATAACCCAGCTGACAGAGATGCTCACTAGAAACCAGGTAATTTAGGATCTAATAACGGGGAGGGAAATTGTTTATGGACCAGTTTTCCAAAGTGTAAATGGCATCTTTCTCATGCATTAGGTTATCAAGTGATGAGAGCCCTACCTTCTCTGGGCTCCGATATCCTGTTTTCTGCAGCGCCAGAATAGCTGTGCGTAACGGGTATCCCCTCTCTGTGATGGTTTCAAGTATCTCCCGCTCCTCCTGGCTGAGAGCTGTCAGAAGTTCTGCTGCAGAGTCGAGCAAAACCCCGTTGGAGGTGCTGGCTGTCAGGACCTGATCAGGGAAAAATGATTCATGTTGGAGTAGTAGAAAGAAAACTCCTCAGTGGTCTATATTACTTCATTCATAAAATTACATTTTTTCTGCGGTTTTTGACCACAGGTCCTGCAGAAGAGGGTCTCTGTTGCTGGAGTTTGGATGATCTGGCAGGAGGTGTGTTTTGGGAGTGTCTTCTACTCTGGGAACTCTGCCTCTTGCTGTTTTTCTGTCCCTGACAGAGAGAGCTGTGCTGTCCCAGGGCCCGCAGAGGCAGCCTGCAGTCTGGGAAAGATGGAGTACCCCTGTGACCCTGGATGATCTGGGGTGTATCGGGTTTAGCTCTGTGTGAGGGGTAGCCCAGGTGCACGTCCTTGACTCTGGACACCAGGTCTCTGGGTGCAGCACTGTGGGGTCGCTCTCTGCTGTTGACACAATGAAGAACACCTTCAGCAGTGGTTTCATCGTCTTCATCAGAATCGGTTATGAGAAACTTGACGGTGCGATGGCGCAGCCAGAGAATGTCTGCAGAGCTCAGACTGTGGCTGCGAGCCCGAGGCCTGGGGACCCACAGATCACTGTCCCTGAGGCTGAACTTGTGAGCCCTCTGGGGGCTGCTGGGCATCAGCCAGAAGGGAGGACAGGATGGAGAGACTGGCCACTGACCGGTTAAAATCCATTGCTCCAGGCTGAATCCATACTGCAAAAAAACATTTGCTTTAAGAAACAAAACATCCTGGAATGCATCAAATATGTTTAAGGACCACTGATAAACACCTGGGTAGCTTCAAAGCCAAATAAAAAAGTTGTGAGGCAGTAAACAGATCAGCAATGTCTGTATTCTACAGCAGCTAGAAAGACATTCATCTAAATGTATAACCTCAGTTTCTTGCAGAATCTGATGGCAGTCTGGAGCAGTAATCTCTGGAGGACTCAAAAGCTGCACTTCAACCCCCAACAAACCCATGGGGGTCTGAAAAGGGACGTCCTCTAAAATGTTCATCACAGCACCAACAAATAACCTGCATCCGAAAAATCAACAAAAAGTCAGGTGTTTCTCGTTACAGGCCGTGCCTTTGTTGCAAATGTCTCACCTGTCTGGATCCACAGCCGCCTCAGTCGTCAGGGGATGCTGGGAGTGAATCAGACAAACATCAGTGTACGTGATAAACCTGATTACTAAGCCTCTGACATCAGCTGAGGGTTTGTTTACATCAGAGGCCTGGTCAGATCTGCCATACAGAGATCCATAATAAAGCCTTGTGTGTATATTTACTATTAAAGTATGTTTAAATGCTTATATCCAGTGAAAAAGACCCAACGGTGCTGCAAATTGTATTCTAATTCAGTTTTCTGTCTGTATAATTTTCCATTGAAGTCCCATGTGTTCACACAGGAGGATTATGGAAATGCTGATGTATCAGGAAACGGAGAACAGCACGATGCTTTGCAGAGATTAGCTGGTTACATAAAGGTGTGAGCTCACCATGCTAGTGCACGTGCCTGCAAATAAACTTCTACCCAACCACTGCATTTTCCATTTATAGATTTTATTTAGATATTTTAAACAATCACAACTTAAGGTTCACTAGGTTTTTTAGGGGTACGGCGGTGTTATAGTTTCTGTAACAGACCTCTGAAGATTTAAATAAGGTGTTGGAAGCATCCCAGGAAGGAAAATGAAGAGGAAAAACTCTTTTAGAAGAACAAATAGCAGCGTAGTTGAGTCAGACACCACCCAGCTGGTGTTTGGATTAAATGTGCATCGAGGTACCTTTTAGTAACAGGATATTACATCACTACAGGTGAAGTAGCGCTCTGACACCAGTGAACAAACTAAGAAAATGACAAACTGCTTTTTTGCAGAAGGCAATTTTAGAGCGGGGGTCCAGTTAAAAACAAGAATCTATAATTATTTAAAGATGGAAAACAAACTTAGTATCCAGATTAGGGGTGTGATTTGTTTATGTCAGAGGGTAGCATCAGCAAAACAGGATATGTCTTCATCACATCAAGTGTGCACAGTCTAATTCTGCTTTGTGGAGCAATACAGAGGTCTGTAAATAAACACTTTTATAAAACAAAGTGGGCTAAAGGAGGAAGCTGAACACTAGAAGAATCATTTCGGCTGAGCTGATCTCTCTCACTCCTTTGTTTGGTGTGCTGGTGTGTTTCTACTCCTCCCAACTGAAGCTTACGTCTCATCAAGCTCACAAAGACGGCCCGTGCAGCACAGCTCAACAGTTACAACCAACTTCACCAAGAGCACCATTATCACAATGGTGGTAATGAAAGAAACAACATATGGATGTGCTCCTGGAATACCATGCCCTCCTGACTTTAAGGCATCTTAACATCACACACACATACTTTTGGTACCCTCCCCCCAGTTCTCATGTGTACAGTAAGACACCCAAATGTCCATGTTTCCCTTTCTATTACAGCCAATCAGCACAAAAAATACAAACTAGCTACAAATACCTTTATGAATAAAATTGCATTATCTTTAGATAGATAAACTGTTAACAATCCCCAGAGATTGAAGTATTTCATTAAGGTCCACGCTGTGGGTGCACCGCTATAGAATTATCTGACACAAGAGACCAAAGGCTGTTTCTCTCTTTACTTGTTCATCTTCATCAGTGTCCACAGTTTATTTGTCAGGTGCAGTATTAAGAGTTGGTAGCAAACTCAGTATCCAAAAGGTTCATGTAATCTAATTATTTCAGCTAAAATGACTGATGTGGTTCAGACGTTAGCAGCATCAGCCTGCCGAGGCCAGTTTTCCTCCTCGATGCCGGAGTCGTACTCCTCCTCTGCAGACTCTTTAGCTGGAGCTCTGGAATTTCAAAGGAAAACCACACCAACATGGATCTTACTGAAACAGATCTATAGTATATGAATAGAAATGACCCTGCTCTGTGATGTTCACCTGACGTATCTGGGGTCTGACTTTCCCTGGACAACCTCTTTGTCCAGCTCAACAGCAACGATGTCCGAGTGCGGCACCTCAAACATGGGCTCAAGGAGGAGTTTTTCCTGTGTGCAAACGATTCCTTTACATTATACAGCAATAAACAAAATTAGCAAATAAAAACACTTTAGCTCAAAGTAACAAACCATAATGGATCGGAGTCCTCGAGCTCCTGTTTTTCTTTCCAAAGCCATTCTAGCGATGGCCCTCAGAGCATCTTGAGTCACGTTGAGTTCACACTGATACAAAAACCAAACTTTAGATTCAATATTTATAACATTTTAACCACATTACATTAAAGTAAAACTGACACAGAAGAGGGGATTAGGTAAAAAACATGTGAAGAGCAGAAATAGGATGACCCTTACTTTGTCCATACTGAACAGAGCCTGGTACTGCGGAACAACAGCATTTCGTGGTTCAGTCAAGATCCGGACCAACGTTTCCTCATCCAGACTGTGCAGAGGAACAACAACCGGGAGGCGGCCGACAAACTCAGGAATCATCCCAAACTCGATCAGGTCCCTGGCCTCAACGTGCTTCAGCAGCCGGTCCTTCTCCTCGATCTCAGCAACTGTGTCGGTCTCACCGCTGGTGTTAGCCAAGTCCGCCGCTGCAGCTGCTCGGCGCCCTTTTCCCAAGTTAGATGGGGTTCCAAAACCCAAATACTGAAGAGATAAAACCGATCACTCAGGAATCTCTCCTGGTTAGAGATTTGCTGACATACTTCATATTAGAAGCGTTACATTTACCTTTTCATTTTTTCTTCGGCTAATTATCCTGTCAAGACCGTTGAAAGCACCAGATGCAACAAACAGGATGTTGGTTGTGTCGACCTGCACCGTTTCACCGCGTAGTTTTCTGGAGTTTTTTTCAGGAACATTGACAATTGTTCCTTCCAAGAGCTTGAGCAAACCCTGAAAGAGAGAGGTAAAAAAAAATACTACAATTGCAAACCTTTATGTTTCTTATGATACATACATTCACAAAGAGACCATATTTTTGTTGTTTTTCTTTTTAGCCTTTGTTACAGCCGTCTGGCTAAAAACTGACCTGCTGAACTCCCTCTCCGCCCACATCTCTTAGCTGATGGATTCCAGGCACACTGCCAATCTTATCAACCTCATCCAGGAACACAATACCTGCACGTGACAAGACAGGACAACAGGATGGATTAATGTCCTACTGTGACAACAGACAGGCTCTGTCTTCCAAGACACGTATGGCCGTCTTTTTTTCATCCAACTGGCACAAAGAAACATCGGGAAGATGATTAGAACAAAAACAACCAGGAATGAAATACAGCAGCTCCTATTTTAACCACGATGAAACAATCCTGTTAGAGATCAGAGAGGTGTAGCGAGGTGCAGCTAGCCACTGCTGAGGATCATTTCTAATTTTACTTCTTCCATCTGAGACATGTGCATCTCTAGGACTGGACTTCAGAAGATAAGAGTGAAAAAGTGGCTACAATGCAACCTGGTAATCATCTTTTACTAGTAGTAATTATTACTCATGGACATAGTTACGGGCATGTTATTATATAAAATACAAATAAACACTGACAACATTCAAAGGAAGCACTTCTGTTTATTCACCGCTTTATTCTAACATGTGGTGTCACCATTGCAGTGTGGATTGTTTACGTTTGCTTGTCCTTCTTTGACATTCTCTTCCAGGTTCTTACTTAACACGTGTTAGTATTATGACACTGGAAATGAAGCTGCTTTTAAATAGTCCTTCTGCCCACCTTGTTGTGCTTTCTCCACAGAGTAGTTCGCATCCTGCAGAAGTTTGGCGATAACCGACTCGATGTCTTCTCCCACGTATCCAGCCTGAGTTAGAGTAGTGCAGTCGCAGATCGCAAACGGAACATCAAGACAACGTGCCAGAGTCTGGGCCAGCAGTGTTTTTCCTGTCAAAATGGCACATTTATGATGGATGCAAGCAAACAAACAAACAGGAACACTGTAATATATTATTAAAGCTCAGGAGCACAAACCTGAACCCGTCGGGCCGAGTAGTATAATGTTGCTTTTCTCCAGTTTGATGTCTGGGTGTGTGGAGTCCAGGACCTCCCCACCCCTCTTCTCCTGGGGAGGCTGCTGGCTGGCCTGCTGTTGCATGGTCGCTCCCAGGGCGTTTCCATGAGGACTGATCCCTGCGATCTGCAGCAGCTCTGCAACAAGTCAAACTCTGCGTTAGCGCTGTGAGCGAGAACTCGACTATCAGCCACAAGTTTGGGGTAAAGAGTCATTTATGCAGAAGCTTGCTCTGAGCAACAGTTTCCATGCATGAGCTAAAAACACGCGGGCAGTTCCAGAGGAGTTCAGAAAAGATGTCTCTGCTGAAAATATCTATGGTCTGAGTGTAGGACACAAGTCTGTCTTGTTTTCGTTGCCTGCCTCCAGTCAGTAGGACTGACCCATGATCCAAAGGTCATGTGAGATGGCCCAGCTTCTGTGTCAGGTTGCATGAAGTTAAAGGAAAAAGTCTTGGGTTGGGGAAGGTCACGTCCAAATGAGACAACGCAGTAATCCAACAAGCCATGAATAATCTGCTGTGTGATAAGTGTGTGTCATCTAGCTGTCATTACATCAGCTGGGACATAAGGACATCAGTAAAGTAGTCGTTCTCCATCTCTGGCGATTGATTGTATAAAGAAAATTAACAAATATCAAATAAATACACAGTTACTTTGTTCAGAAGGAAGAAAAAGTATAAAAGATATTTAGTAGAAAATTAAAGGGGGGAAGCTGCAAAAGTCTGACAGAAATTAACACAATTATTTAGTTTATTTACGCCTTATTTGTACAAACATTAATATCACTTGACTGTCAATCTCATAAGACAGAACACGTGTCTGAAAATGTGCTAAGCTCTGTACATTTTGGCATTTGTGCAACTGACAAACAGAAGAAACAACAGATTAAACGTGACTTTATGTAACTGCTGATAAGAGAAAGGCAGCGGGTCAGACAACAGTGAGGTGGTCAGTCACTTACTTGAGAATCTGTATTCATCCTCTCGTCTTCTCATCTCTAGCTCTACAAGGAGAGGATCAAATCATTTATCATTATGACTACCACATTATCAATGCAGCCGCTGAAGGAACGTCTGAACCACTGGGAGAAATTAAGATTGAACAAATGCCAAATAATACAGATTATTATTTCTAATGTAAGTCAGATGAGACTCTTTAATGTCTTCATACAGAACGTGCAATAAATTTAAATAATCAGACCAGGAGTGCAACAATACAGCGGTCTACATTTATACACTGCTCAAAAAAATAAAGGGAACGCAAAAATAAGACATCCTAGTTCTGAATATATAATTGAATGTGTTGAAAACAAAATCACACCAAAACGATTTATGAAAATTAAATTTATCAACCCATGGAGGTCTGGATTTGGAGTCACGCTCAAAATTAAAGAGGAAAACACTACAAGCTGACCTAGCTTTGATGTAATGCTCTTAAAACAAATGAGGCTCAGTAGTGTGTGTGACCTCCCTACAACGCCTGAGCATGCTCCTGATGAGGTGGCAGATGGTCTCCTGAGGGATCTCCTCCCAGACATAAAGCATCGACCAACTCCTGGACAGTCTGTGGTGCAACGTGGTGTTGGTGGATGGAGTGAGACATGGTGTCTCAGATCTGCTCAATTGGATTCAGGTCTGGGGAACGGACGGGCCAGTCCATGGCACCAATGTCTCGTGTTGCAGGAACTGCTGACACAGTCCAGCCACATGAGGCCAGTAGGCATGTTTCCATTACCAGAACTCCAGGGTAGCTCCTGGGATGGGGAACTTGACCAGGAGATAGGATGTCCCAGTCCTCTCAGCTGTTGTGTGTCCATTCAGATTCAGCCCTTTCAGAACTTGCAGATGTCAGCATATCACGACTACTGTGGCAGTGAGTGATGTCACTGATCAGCCCCAAAAAGCGCCCAAAATAACATTAATAATAATAATAAAAGCATTTATTTTATAGAAGTATATCATAATTATATCTGTTCAGAGGACAAGAGCAGCTCTGAGTTTTGTGAGACAAGCCCAGTTAATTAAGTCTGTGGGGGAATTTCCCCATTTTTCCCAAAGCTGTGAGGGAATTTCACCAAGTTTTCTGGTGTCGGAGTTACATTTCAAATGCAATCGGTGCTGATTTTCTTTTGCTTCCATTCCGCTTCACCAGCTACTCTTCTAATTTTACTGCTACCAATTGTTTTGGATGTCTGCTGATGTCATTTCCTACTGAGTTACAACCAGTGTGAGTTAACAAGAGATTGCGCTCAGCTACTCCAACGGGTCGTTCGGAGTACCTACTCAAGAGCAGGTACTCAGAAGGTTCCTGAACGGCCGTTCGGACGACCCGGTCAGGTGGAGACACGCGGATGTCAGGAGGTTCCTGTAAATCAACCCTGAAGTTCTTGTAGTGAAAACACACCTATTGTCTTGCATTAGGAGGAACCCAGGGCTAGCCGCACCAGGATACGGTCTCACAAGGGGCCTGAGGATCTCATCACGGTACCTAATGGCAGTCGGGCTACCTCTGGCAAGCACATGGAGGGCTGCTCACCATCCCTTACAGAAATGCCACTCCACACCATTACTGATCAACTGCCAAACTGATGTTGCAGCAGGTGGCAGAACTTTGTCCATGGTGTCTCCAGATTCGGTCACATGTGCTCAGTCAGTGTAAACCTGCTTTTATCTGTGAAGAACACTGGGCGCCAATGTCAAATTTGCCAAGCTTGGTGTTCTCTGGCAAATGCCAAACATCCTGCATGGTGTTCGGCTGTAAGCACTACCCTCACTGGTAGACGCTGAGCCCTTAGACCACCCTCATGGAGTCTGATCATTTGAACAGACAGATGTCCATTTGTGGCCAGTTGGAGGTCATTGTGCAGGGCTCTCGCAGTGCTCCTCCTGTTCTTCCTTGCACAAAGGTGGAGGTGGCAGTCCAGTCCTGCTGCTGGTTTGTTGCCCTCCTTTGACCTCCTCCACGTCTCCTGATGTACTGGCCTGCCTCCTGGTAGCACCTCCGTGCTCTGGACACTACGCTGACAGACACAGTAAACCTTCTTGCCGCAGCTCGCACTGATGTGCCATCCTGGATGAGCTGCACCACCCGAGCCACTTGTGTGTGTTGTAGACTCCGTCTACCACTAGAGGTAAGGCACTGCCAGCATTCAAGTGACCAAAACATCAGCCAGAAAGCAAAACAACTGAGGAGTAGTCTGTGGTCACCGCCTGCAGAGCCACTCCTTTATTGGATGTCTTGCTAATTTTCTATAATTTCCACCTGTTGTCTTTCCCATTTGCACAACAGCAGGTGAAACTGATTGTCAATGTTGCTTCTTAAATGGACAGTTTGATTTCAAAGAAATGTGGCTGACTTGGAGTTAAAGTGTTCCCTTTATTTTTTTGAGCAGCGTGTATACGTCTTTGATTGAATCTCATTAACATTTAACTAAACAGAAGTACTTACCACGAGGTGTCAAAGACGGCTGCTTTTCCACCTCGACCTGCTGCCGGTGTCCTGCAGGAATGTTGTTGTAGATGCGCTTGTAGTGATTGTACACGGCAACAGCCAAAACCTTTTTAGCATAAGACTGGCCAACAACGTATTTGTCCAAATAAGCATAAATCTAGATAAAATAAAAACAAAAGAAGGTTTGTATTTAAAACCCCAAGAGTATTTTGACGACTTACCCAATTGGGTTTCTTACTTTCTTGGGTGGAGGAGGGGGTTTCTGAGCAAAAGCCAATTTCACAGCTTCAGCAGCAGACTCCGGTTCTTTGTTCAGGCTTTTCTTAGAGTCCGTCTCAGACAAGACCACGAAAAAGTGGTGGCATTTCTCACACTTTACAAAGCGTGTTGATGCTGCAAAACAATACGTGCAAAAATAACACGTTAACATGCACAAATATTCATATGCTAGTGTTCCTACGTACAGAGCAAAAATAAATAAATTCATTGTATTGTATTAAGATACAACTGAATGATAGTTTGATAAATCTGGCTAAAACAAAAAGGCCAAAACAGAAATATTTTAATAAACTGCCCCAAAATGCTGTAACAATAGTGAAAGTGAAAGATTTTAGCTCATAAAGATAAAATAATTCCTAGTTTTAAATGTAGAAATGAACAGAGCTTGAATATTTCTTCGGATTGTCTGAGAAGTTCCTGAAGGCAGCAGCAGAAATCAGTACATCACTGAAACCCACACTTCTCACGATTATGTTCGTGGTTAGGGTTGTCACGGTGTGAAAATTTAACCTCACGGTTATTGTGACCAAAATTACCACGGTTTTCGGTATTATCGCGGTATTTTTTTTAAACGTGCTACATTTTCACACAATTAAATAAACCCTGTATGTCAGGAACTATTGTCCTCAGTTTGTGTCTACATTTTGCCTAAAATGTGTTATTTTGTAATTATGTTGTTTATTTGTTTACATTTTTCCTCTTTAGTCTTTAAAATACCAATATTTGCCCATAACTTCTTATTTTTGTCTGTTTGATGTCATCATTTTAAAAATATTAGATCAGATGAAACTCAGTACTCAAGTAGCCTTCTAATCAGATACTTTTTTACCCTTACTTGAGTAATAACCCCTATATCAGGAAAATATTGTCCTCGGTTTGTGTTCCAGTGAGCTTTGCAGATTTGGGAAAATGTCATCAGGCAGTAATCATTGTTAAATTCATAATTATTCTCGGAGAGAAACCAACTCTTATCTGTCCCTGGATCCCCGTAATGCATAGCGTCATTTCAACATGGGGGTGTCCGCGACAAGGTTTATATGCAGGTAGCGGCGCTGCGGCTGCTTTATATAGCGACTCGTTGCATTCTCCCTCAACCCAAATCCTCGGATCACGCATTTTAGCTAAAACGCTAACGTTAGCTTGCCTTGCGTTGACTGTAGAGTTGTGGGTGATGGTCACGCAGATGTGTCATGAGATTTGAAGCGTTGCTGCCTTTCACAGACACTTTTTCCTGCACGTGCTGCAAACAGGATAGCCGTCTTCTATAAACTGTCCCTCTGCATTCTTCAAATATCTAAAAGATGCCCGTACTTCACTTTGTCTTCTTTGAGGGATAAAAAATGTCCTCCTGAGCGCTGCCGTCTCCTCCTTTGGCCATTATTTCAGCTTTAGCTTCAAGAAAGTTTTGGTTGTAAACAACAAAGCGCGCATGTGCCGCCGGCAACTTCAGCAGATGATACGGTGGCTGGTAAGGGTCACCGCGCCTACATCACAGCCACGGTGAACCCACCGAGATAATAGTTTTTTTAAAAAGACGGTTATTATTATTGTCAACTTTTTTACCGGGGTTTACCGCTACACCGGTTACCGTGACAACTCTATTCGTGGTCCATGTTGTTGTGCTGGTTGTACTTCTTCTGTTTACCAGTCTCACAAGCTTTGAGATACAGGAAAATGTATCAGTTTCTGAAATGACTCCCTAACAAAAACACACATAATCCTAGCCTGATAATCTGTTTCTTCTCGTTCCTTGTTGTCAATGTTATCAGTAAACAAAAGCAGTTTTTATTGACAATAAAACTCTTTTTGACTCTTAGCTAGGATATTAGAAAATTAAAGCCTATTTCATATTTTGATATAAAATATTTATTTGATCATACTCGACTACATTCCTTTACAAACACAGACTATCATCCTCTAAAAGGAAAATGACACATTTTAGTTTTATTTTTGCTGACTGTCATTTCAACACACATGCCACTACTACTGCAGGCATGTTCAAATGTGGCACTTGGCCTGTGCAGCCCCTAACTACATTTTCTAGGATTATGATATACTTTGTGTGCTCAGATTTCTACTAAAATGGCGGCTATTTTTGAGCAGTAAAAATAAAACATAAAAAACAAAACCTCTAAGCTTCATGCTACTAATAATTTATTGTGTAGTGTTGTCTTTGGGGATGATTGTAAAAACTAGTTGAAGTGAGAGAGCTTTACTTACATACAAAGGTCTCTACATGTGTGCAGGGGTCTCCACATTTAGGACAGCGTAGCTGACTTCCACCTTTGCCTGATCCTCCAGAGCCTGATGGTCTCTTTCCCTCGCTAACGCTTTTCTGTGCACAGAAAACAGTGATAAATAACATGTATGTGTCTCCAAAGCTTTCTATTAACAAACTAAAATGGTGTACAGCAGATGAAGGTTACCTTTCCACAATCATTTCCGCCGTCTTTTGTAGTCCCGTCTTTAGCTGCGTAACAGACAGCTGTCTCAGAAAAAGTCCGCACACACACTCGTGGATGAAAATAGGTTTCCCGAGAGCCCTGCCGACTCAGAGAAAACAGCTGGATTCTGGAGCACGACAATCCTGTAAGACCAGCAACATCAGGTGTGCAAAATAAGTTACAATTAATAATATTCCATGTAGGGCAATAAGAAGCAGGTAAAAGCTTCCCAAAAATGTTTAAACTGCTCCTTATACCTCACACGCAACAACAAAAACATGCAAATGAACAATTCCTTAGTCAGTTTTTATAAAAATAAACACAAAGGAAAACTACATTAGAAATCCTTTTAAATTTTCACACATTACTGAAATAAAAACAGCAGATGATTCTGAAATGTGACGATTTTAAGTGGCAGGAAACGTGCATGTTTTTGATAATACTTTAAATTTTGATCAGTTTAACATCTATAAACAGATAAGTAAAACTCTGAAGATTTCACGGGAGCAACAACTCAGTTTTGGGTTTATTTTTGTGTTAAATCTACAAATTCACCACTGAGCAACACTACAAAGGGCTGTGTAACATAACAGGACAAAGTAGGGTTGGCTTATCTATAGCTACTCAACTCTTACAGTGTCTTTTTTTCCACCTGCTGTTGACATCAACTACATTACTGCCATAAAAAACAGTAATGTAGGTTAGCTGGAGCAAAGGTCAGGTGACTTTAGCCATACTTTCCTTTTCTTACCTCTGTGGGCAGTGCTAAGGAACAACCTTGCTGCTGAGGTGCATGTACAGGACATCTCTCCTTCTGTTTGAAAATCCTAAAAAACGTATTAAAAGCCATTTAATACAGAACAACTGATGAGGGTAAATAGCAAACAGATTACAAAAACAAGCAGAAGAGGCTGGTGTCCGGCCAAAATCTGTGTGTTTACTCTTGGACTACATTGGAATTTTAGATAATTTCATTAGTGTTGTCTGATGTGTATAATTGCCATGATCTTCTAAATAATTGAAACAAATATACGGACAGCAGGGCATTTTACACAAAAAACGAATGTGTTTACAACAGTGACCATATTTAAATGTCATTCCAGAATCTTACTGGCAATAAAATTACATTATGTTCCATTTAATGTAAACACTATAGTACAAACAAACGTGAAACATGTTAAATAATAAACAGAGTCCGATAAAAACTGTCAAGCTACATATTTTGCCTTCCCATCAGAATCGTGGAACATTTTATTCCTTCAACGTCACAGTTAGCATTAACTGAACAGGTAATAAACTGTGGAAAAATACAGCCGTGCAGGTCGTTATCAGTGTGAAATTAGTCTTTATAAATTAAATGCAACGTAGAGACTGCTTTACCCTAACTTGTGTTAATTAATAACAATAAAATAATAAATTAACCTACGTTATTAGTCGCGATACTTGATGGGTCGCTGTTAGCTACCTGAGCTAGGCCCAGCGGCCAGTGGGAAATGACAAACAACCCTGACAGAAGCCAATGCCGAGCAAGAGGTGAGACAAAACAACTTCACACTTTAACTAAATAATTTAATTCTCAGCATTAAATTATTACTCAGCATTTAACTTGCTTGACAGTTTTACTCACAATTTCCGATGAAAGCGTCTTAGCAGCACCCTTGGATGCCAAAATAAGAAAAATATGCTAGCTCACTACGAAAACTCTCTCGTTTTATTTTGACAGGTCAGTAACTCATGCTAGTTCTATAGGACTTGTTAAATATACCAAGAAGTTTGTTCCTTCAGGCCGTTATTTCCCAGGTGGGACACGGCCCAAAATGATGTAACGCCTGCTGTTACAAACTAGGTTACATCGAGCTAACTTACTAGCCTAGTTGCAAAGGGAAGCTAGCACAAGATGTTTAAACATGTAAACAGCAAAAGTAAGATGGACGTTCTATTCATGTCTACGTAACTTTGCTTATCCAGATATTTTGAGATCCAATAAAAACAAAAACGACTGCTGATGCGTTCAAAAACATCTCGTATTAAAAGCAACTTCATGACTGTTGTGAAATTCACCATAAAACAACGCATTTTTGTGTTTTATAAATATTAATCATAATAACTTATCTAACTAACATATTTTAAACTGTGGCAACCTACATCACATTTAAAATTACGCAACAAATAAATGTATTTTTTTCTGTGCAATTGTAACATTTGGGTAAACTTTTGGAGTAAAATTCAGAAGAAATAGAGTCGTAGAATGAAATTAAATTAGGATCATTGTATTCAAATGAACCATTCCAGATTATTACTTTCCAACAATCATCTTTAGAACAGAACATTTTGTTTTATTTATTTATAGCTGGATTTATTAGTATTTTTCAGCAGAGTGAAATAGATCCGCCAAACACAATAATTGAAAAAAGAAACAAACAACAAACTTGCTTTTTTGCTTCAATATGGAGGGCATGAAACTTCCAGACTATGTAATCACAATATTATTGGATTAACTGTTTTCCCATTTCATTTTAGTGACAAATTCTGGCCCAAAACAAATGTTGTTGAAAAAGCCTTGTTTATTGTAATTCTCGAAAAAGCAAAGAAAAAATGTTTCACAATTTTCTCAACATTCAGATTAAAGGAACATTATACACACAAATAAAATACCTCTATTTTAATGCCTCTTATAATGTAACAAAAGATGCAGCCATTTAGATATCTCCACTTTTATTAAAAAATTCCAAAAGCTTTTTTATTATTATTATTTGGAGCCCTTTCTGACCAAAATGACCTCCCAGTGCATGGCTACATGGATTAATCAGTTTCCGTGTAATGCAAATTGTCTGTTATTTTTATAGTACACAATCAGTTCAGTTTCAGTCTAAAGAAATACACCCTGGATGATTTATTATAAATGCTACATTTTACTACTTTTGGTGATTATTTATGTTTGTAAATGAACTGAACTGAGAACTCAATATAAATAACTGTAATGTGATATTGAACAAAAGTGAAAATATTTATAAACGTATGCAGGACATTCTGTGAATATCGATTGAACATCTTTTAAGAAGCTGGGATTATATCCTGTTAAAAATAAGCACCTCGTGATTTTTATCTTGAGAGGCACTATAGAAATGATACTTTCTTCTTCTTCTGATAAGATCTACATTTTGACTTGCGGTTAGCCTATCAATCCCGTGAAAAAACCATTGATTCTCAAAAGAGGCCTGTGGTAATATGATCGTTATTTACAACCTTTACACAGAAAAACATTTCAAATTGACCCAAATATAACTTTAATTTTTTCATTTACATTTTCTGCTAAACATAAAAGCAGCTCATTAGCTCTTTGAACCTTAAAAATCTGAGATTTGATTGTGTGACGTCTTTATCCACCAGCACAATAGATCTGGTCATGCTTTCGAAATCAATCAATGCTTATGTCAGTAAAGTACTCAGCACTCTTAGGGTCACACATCATTGCAACAAAACAAACAATAAAGGACAAAGTCATTGGAAAGCACACGCACACACACATCTACATATGTATGAAAATTGAATGATTTCATTTTTGTTTGATATCTAAATTTTTGGTTCTAAATGTGTTTGAATTTAATTTTGCAGGTGCTCACACTTTTGTCATTCCACATGTACAAAAGCTTTGTGTTTGGATAGTATGACAGCATAGCCAAGGTGCCACTGGCTGGTCTTAGATCAAAACTTGCATCAAGAGAAGATTTTGCTTTTAAATCAAAGGTGTAAGTCACTTTTTTGTCTATGTCGTCTGTGAAATACAGCACGCCACACACAATGAAAGCATTTCCTGCTTTGGCGGTGGGGTAGCCTGTGTTAATGATGGACTTCACAGAGAAGGAGTTGGCGTTGATCTCTGCAACCATGGTGTTATCGTCTAAGCTTGAGGCAAAGATGACCCACAGTCCGTTTTCATCCACAGCAAACTTAAAATATGTCTTTGAGTTGCGGAAGAGATAGGTCAGGTTATTATATTTGCTGTGTGGTATTACCACTGTGCTTTTTTTCCTTGAGTTCAAGGAAAACCTGTAAATAAACAAAAGATATTGATAAGAAGTGCAGTGAAAAGTCTATGCAACAATTCCAGATGCAACAATTATAAAAAAAAAATGTGACACTTACTTTATTAGCCTGTTTGTTCCTCCATTGTGGAAATAAAAAGATCCCTTATAAATAACATGGCCACACCCCTGATAGTACAGCCCGGGGTCTATAGTGTTGCTCTGTCCCTCCAGAAACGCTGAAACGTTCTGAAACTCGTGCAAAACTCGACCTGGTGGAATGAACGCTACTGTGTGAAAATCAGGAAATAACTTGGCTGAATGCAGGAAATGGTTACTGTTGCCAAAATCACCTGAGAAATGTTCAGCCAGCCAGAATCGATTGTCATTCTGTCGAGATGCGTCTGACATCCAGGCTCCAAAAGTTGCTTTCATATTGGAAATTTTCTCTGAGCAAGCAATGGTTTTGACACGGCAACCTAAAAGAGCAACAGCAAACATGAAGCTACAGAGATCAGTCCTGATATTCAGATAGAAATTGGCTATTTTTTATCTAAATTCAACCAGATGTTTTCCCCACTCTTTAAGTGTTTCTCGCCATTGATCTTGAAATGATTTGAAGAGCCTGTAGAAAAGGTCAAATAAATGTTAGTTGATATTAATGTAAAAATAATCAGTGCTTTATGTTTGGGAGGAAAAAGTCCTCACTGATCTTGATCTAAATCAACATTTTAAAGCTGGTGAACACAGCTTCTCACCATTTCTCACTGGTTTGTCAATAAAGTTTCCATTGCTGTTTGAAGTGGTCCTCCTTTGCTCCACATCTGCAGATGGTGCAGCTGTAGTATATAAAACATGTAGTAAACAGCTGTATCCTACACGTCTTTAAATATATGACTGAGTTTATCCTTATCTTAGTTAAGATTAAGGTGGTGGTTGATGTGAAGGAATTCTTCACTTTTAACTTTCTTCTGTTTAGCTGCATTTTTAACACTTTTAAATGTTGTTCTGACTTTGTTACGTTTGCTTTATTCCAGTTTTCGAGTCACTGTACAGTAAAGTTTTCTAAAATCTTAAATCAAAGTTTAATTTAACTTAAAGAATTAAAAATTTACCAGGTTTCTTTCTTCTGTTGAGGTGATTTTCTGAGTTTTTTATGTCAGGGAGAGATGGGGGGGAGAGAGAGGAGGGATTGGGTCGGAGGAGAGGAGGGGAGGAAGATTTAGGGAGGATGATGGGAGATGATGAAGAGGAGGGATTGTGTTGGAGGAGATGAGGGAAGGAAAAGGAAGATTTAGAGAGGAGGATAGGAGGTGAGGAAGAGGAGGAGGAAGGATTAGAGGGGAGGAGAGAAGGGGAGGAAGATGAAGGATGAGGGAGGAGAAGAGATGGGGAGAGAGAGGAAGATCTGGGGAGGAGAAGAGGGGAGGAAGAGGGAGTGGGAGATTTAGGGAGGAAGAGAGGATGGGAGAAAGATGGAGATTTGGGGAGGAGCAGAGGATGGGAGGAAGAGGAAGGTTTAGGGAGGAGAAGAGAAGGGGAGAAGGATGAGGAATTGGGGGGAAGAGACAAGGAAGGGGATGATGAATTAAGGAGGAGGAGAGAACGGGAGGATGAGTTAGTGAGGAAGAGAGACTTGGAGGAGGAGGATGAATTGGGGAGGAGGAGAGAATGGGAGGAGGAGGAGGATGAATTAGGAAGAAGGATGGAATGGGAGGATGAGGATGAATTGGGGAGGAGGAGAGAAGGGGAGGAGGAGGAGGATGAATTAGGGAGGATGATGGAATGGGAGGAATAAGATGAATTAGGGAGGAGGAGAGAAGCAGAGGATGAAGATGAATTAAGGAGGAGGAGAGAAGGGGAGGAAGAGGAGGATGAATTTGGAAGAAGGATGGAATGGGAGGATGAGGATGAATTGGGGAGGAGCAGAGAAGGGGAGGAGGAGGATGAATTAGGGAGAATGATGGAATGGGAGGAAGAAGATGAATTAGGGAGGAGGTGAGAACGAGAGGAAAAGGAGGATGAATTAGGGAGGAGGACGGCAGCATCTCTGGTGTTTTGATCTAAACAAGGAAAGCATTCGGTTAAACAGGAAATGAATGTAAACATCAGAATAAACGACCACACAACATGAATTTACCACTTATTATTCCACTGTTATTCACATGTCTGATGCCATCATGGCTGAATGGTTTTATTTCATTAGTGTCTGTGAGGAAAAAAAGATTTAAACATTTAAAGCATCTTCATGGCTGAAGTTTCATGGGAGATGACTGAGTTTCTACCTGGTGAAGATGTGCCTGACTCTGCAAAACCTTCAGAATCTAAAAGGTCCTCCAGTTCACGGCTCTCGTCTCCATGAAATAGTTCTAGATCTACAAAAATAAAAATAGGTCAACGTCATCATAACCATTCCCAGCACCAGCAGGTTTATGTTTCCGCCACATTTCCGTGGATTACCAGGTTTTCTTGTTGTGTCTAGATGATCATAAGAGTCAAAAACATTCAGAGCATCACTGATGATCCCAGCTGATTGTTGTGTTGGGGGTTCTGTAAAACAAGACAGGAGGAGCTAAAACCATCATATCTGACTAATTTACTCTAACCTATTACTGTTGTTAACGCTGAAATGTCACTTTATTTTTATAAATAATTTGTTTTTCATTCCTTATAGTTAAAAACGGTGAATATAACGTAATTTTTTGGATAATTTTCTCATCTCTTAGAGCACGTGTCAGACACAAGGCCTGCGGGCAACATCTGGCCAGATGTGGCCTGCGTAGCATTTTTATGTGGCTCGCAAGATAAATATAAAAAATATATTAAAACTGACCCGCTGACCGATTTTACCGCAAAGACTACAACTCCCATGATCCTTTGCGGTGTTAGCGCTTAGCCGAAGAGCCCCCTCCTTTGTGTTTTTCTGCTGCCTGTGTCTGCAGCTCCGACAAATTAAACACTCCTCTCACTCAGCGCCGAGTTTACTGAGCTGTTTGCCAACGTTAAAGCCCAGAAACGGAGATTTTAACCGCTCAGTAATGTGTTCACGACTGAAAGAGAAAGTTTTCCAACTAACTTCCAGACAGAGCTGATATAACTCCAACGAGCAGTGACACGCTCAAATCAGCATGACTCTGTGGCTGCTGTCGTTTTTATTTTTCCTCCCCTACACACAACAACGTGGTCAAGCTGCTCAGACATGTGAGCACCTATTGTCATCTAATGTTGTCATTATTATGATGAAGATGAACAAAACAACAGGAGTCTCCTCCTCAGCTCAGATCAGCCCCATGATGAAGCAAACTGAGCTTTAAATATTTTGGTTTTATAATCTTTTTCTGCTCCAAAACATGAAAGTTAATAGGTGAGAAATTGCATTTTCATTTAAGATAAAATTATATATTTATTTTGTTGTTGGCCCGTGAGAAAAGATTTAACCTGCAGTAAAACAGGAAGTGGAAAGGCTGCAGATGAATAGAATAGAAAATCCCTTTATTGTTCCTCAGTGGGGAAAACTAGATGCTAAAACAGCGATGACACTTATTACAGGAGAAAAAAAGGAGAATAGAAAATAAGAAAAATGAATAAACAAGAAAACATAAATCCTGAATAGATTTTTAAAATGCTGAATATACCACAAGTAGCGAATACCACTGATGTGTTTTATTTAAAATTGACTTGCTCATGTATAATTTGGTTATTTCACATTCAGTGTTAATGCAAAAATAAGTTTGTTTCCAAATTAAAAGGTTCAAAATTGCATATATGGCGATTAAGAAAATATGCAAATTTGCTGTTACTTTTTCAAAAAATATTAAGTTTGGCCCGTGACTTCGTCCCAGATGTTCATTTCAGCTCTGTGTGAATTTGAGGTTGACACCCCTGTCTTAGAGTATAAATGTTTAAAACAATAACAGAAAAGTTTTAAATTGGTCCTGTGTTTATTATGCAGCATCCCTATGTTTTTGTATCCTTTATAAAAGCTTACACTAATGAAAAATACAGAGATATCTTTTTTACCACTTTTCAGGCTAGTTTCACTGTCTCTGGTGTCACTGAAGACATCACTGGTTTGGTCTGGAGCAAGTAAACCTATAGAGTGAGATCAAATGTTACACATTACTATAGAGACTTGAAAGTTAAATCAGTTTTAAATTTCACATCTGGAATTAGTCGTAATCCAACCTGGTGATGATTTAATTGGTCCTTCTGTAACATCTTCTGTGTCTGAGTCATTAAAGGCGTGATGGATGCCATCTTCCTGGAATTGTCCTGATTGGGGGGGGGGGGGGGGGTATTTTAAATTTTATTTATTTTTCTGTTTTACCTTTTTCTAGTTTGATGTGTTTGCTTTACCAGCATCAGTGTCATTCATGTGTTTTCCGGAGTTTTCAGCTGCAGGTGATGACAGTGATGATTTAAGTAGAAACTAATTGACTTGTTAATATTTTGAGTCAGTCACTAAGTGGCGTACCAGCTTCAAAGAGCCAAAGTTTCTGTAAGTCAGTGGAGTTGAAGACGTCCCTGGCGTGAGGACCTGAACTCTGTAACTCTGTTGGATTAGGGAGTGAAGTGAAGCCAGGTGAGTTATAATCTAAATTTAATGTAAATCAGTTATTAGAATCCAAACTGACCTGTGAAGAATTTATGAAAAACTTCTTTTAGATTTTGTAAAACGTCTTCGAACCAAGCAGCACAAGTGATATCTGGATGTGATGATTTCAACTCTGCAGAAAAGAAAACATAATGACAACAATTCAGGCAGGAAGATAGACGGGAATTCGTTCAATTCTTAGTGTTTTAAAAATTAAAAGGTCAAATTTTCATTAAGAAATTACATTCTACATAACATGCTGACCGGTCTCCATCCACCCTGACCAAAACCAACTAGAACATCTCTAGATCATCATGTTTCGGTATATTTGATGCTGCCAGAATGCACCTCAGAATGTCCAGGAGTTCAGTGATGTCCTAGTCAGGTCCTGGGAGGGGACACTTGAGGACACCATCCATCAGCTCACAAGGAGATTGCCCCAGGGGTGGCAAGCATGCATGCAAGCGGGCATACGAACCACAAAGGGCCATTTTGAGTAGCTGCAACAACGTTTTGGCAAACTGGATGGACCTGTTGCATCAGGTTTTGAGTTTAATTTTTTGGTGATTTTGATTTAAAATTGGCTGCATGGTGGAGCTGTTTGTAGCACTGTTGCTTTGCAGAAAGGAGATCACAGGACCGAATCTCGTCTTTCTGCGTAGAGTTTGCATCTTCTCACCATGCATGCACAGGCTTTCTCTGGGTTACAAAAACATGCACGTCAGGCTGATATAGACTCTAGATTTTCCCAAGGTGTGAACTGTGGAGATGCTTGCCGACAGGCAGGGCAGGTAATAGCTGAGGGCCCCCAAGCCACAAGGGACCACTAGAGGGCTTATAGACTTTAAAGTCAGAACCAAAATAGTAGTGAAACTGTATAAAGCTGTCATTTGACAGCACTGTTGGCTGTCTCACACTCCATGACGGGACCCTCCCCCGTCCCCCATACCCTCTGTGCCAGCAGGTATCTTTACTTGGGAACCCATGACAACTTTGCAGTACCACAATCCATTCCTCACCAGCTTGTATAACCGCATGAGTTTTGAGATCTGATTTGTTTTAAAAGTGTTCCTTTATTTATTTTGAGTGGTGTATCATTAAAGACATATAATGATGCACACATGTTATAATTTCTTTTTTTTTTTTTTTGCCTCCTTTTAAAGTTGTTTTTTTTACCAGAGACAGTTTCTGTGTCCAGATATTTCTCCAAGTCCGTATCATTCAGGATGCTGCTGGAGTTTTTAGCTCCAGATGAAGGTGATTCTGCAGAAATAAATAAATCATTAACCATTCAAATCAAACGTAACAACCATATTTTTAACAGAGTTTTTTAGGCCACTTTAAGGTTTGCTAAATTTATACCGAGTCTGAGATGCTGAAGCATTGAGTCGAAGACATCTCTGATATCCGGATCTGGACTCAGTGGCTGCATTGCTGGTAAAAAATGAAAGATGATCTGAAGGTGTGATTTTAATTCTGACTAAATTAATTACAAAGCCACCTAGTTGTGCAATAGAGTCCCAGAACTAACCTCCAAATATTTTATGAAAGACACCAATTATCATTTCTAAATTGGTTTGAACCCAGGCAGCACACGTGAGGTCTGAGTGAGGTGGTAGAAACTCTGTAGAAACATTAAAGATGATAAACAGTTTCAACAGAACATGATTCAAATTAAATGATCAAATCAATATTTTGATTCAGGATTAATTATACAACAGACATCCCAGCAGTGCCTTCTTACCTTCTGTCATGGTGCTTTCAGGAACATTCCTGCTGCTACTGAAAACATCACCGCTGCTGCCTGAGTTTCCTGTTGCTTTATCGAAACAAGATTATTTATTAGTTGTGTGAGGAACTTTGCAGAGTCAACATCTGGCCTTTCTTCTTACCCGCTGATGGAGCAGTAAGGTCCTTGCTGACATCTTCACTGTTGGTATGATTAAGTGAGACGTGACTAAAGCCCGGCTCAAGTGATTCAGACTCTAAAATATAAAAGCAAGTTGTGTTTACTATCTTTTGGGAATGGTTGTGATGTATTTAAATGTTTCTGTCCATGTCAGCAAAGACAAACCAGTTTCCATTTTCATGTTCAGACGTTTCTTCAAGTCATTCAAGTCCTGAGTGTATTTGACGTTTTCAGCTGTTATTGTGTCTAGAATAGAAAAAGGTGTTTTGTTCTTATATTAGCTACTAAACAGAAGCAACTCATAAAGTGAACACTGTAAAAAAGCTGCTTTTGTTTTCAGAAAGAGTCCCAGTGATCAGGAAGAGAAATGAGTTTAAATAGATTTGAGGGAATTAAAATTAAGCTTGAAAAAAAAAGTATTTCAGTAAATAAAAACAGGGCTGCGCGGTGGTGAAGTGGTTAGAGCTGTTGCCTTGCAGCAAAACGGTCCTGGGTTCGCTTCCTGCCTGGGATCTTTCTACATGGAGTTTGCATGTTCTCCCTGTGCATGTGTGGGTTCTCTCCGGGTACTTCGGCTTCCTCCCACAGTCCAAAAACATGACCGTTAGGTTGATTGGTCCGTCTACATTGTCCTTAGGTGTGAGTGTGTGTGTGTGTGCTTGATTGTTTGTCCTGTGTGTCTCTGTGTTGCCCTGCGATGGACTGGCACTTTGTCCAGGGTGTACCCCGCCTGATTGCCCATTGACCGCTGGAGATAGGCACCAGCCCCCCCCCCAGGCATCACCCAGGTGTTTGTCATTCTGGTGACTTGAGTGTAGATTGTGGCAAAGTGGGTACCTTTAGAAAAGTTGGTTTGATGAATCTGTTCTCTGATGGACGTGTGTCTCACATCAGTGGAACAACAGGCAGGACACGGTGGACCAGGAGGACCAGGAAGACCTTCATACATGCAGAAAATGCTCATTTACACAACATGCAAAGAAAACAGTACAAAAAGGTGCTTTTATTGTTTCAGGCAGTCATCAGTGGCCTAACTGCAACACATTCTTCCATCCAGATTAAGTCAGTCAGTGGAGCTGTTGCTTAAAACTTTAATTCTTCATTTAAAAAACATCTAATATTATCAGCCAATCAAAATTTTGCAGCAGTCTTGAAACTATCATCGAGCTACAGTTTGAGTTTCAGAATGTTTTTCCACATCAGACTAATTAAATCCTATCTAATGTGAAATATGCTGCTAAAGAATTTAGATTCCATTTTGTTGTTTTTTTAATAAAGAAAATGTATTTTCAACTGATCCCATCCTGTTGTCCCATTTCATTGGAAGTCTACAAACCATCCCAGCTGGTTTCTTCTTCAAATGCAAATTAAACCACCAACTGAAAATCTGAACAACCAAAAAACAAGACGAGCCTGAGATAATAGCCGGATCATGAACCTGTCAAAACATGACCGAACATGAAAAATCTCACAGTGAATTCAAAGTGAAACCGAGACCATTTGAGGTTTGAGTGCGTGAGAAAGAGATGAAAACTTTGGTCACACGCTGATTTTCTGGAAACAGAAGATAATTCAGGTTAATCAGCTGCACCCAACATTTGCTCCACGCGGAAGTAAACAGAGATGTGGCAGAGTGTCCTGCAGACGGCAAGTGGGACGGTCGTGTTATGCAATCATGGCTGAACAATGACAGACTGTTTGAAACATGGAAACTCTGACTTCTGGGTTTATTCTTCTGGTCAGATCTGTTGTGGTGTCTTTAGGTTTATAGAGACTCTAAAGCATCTCTGACCTTTCTTTCCTCGTTTTCCTTGTGGACCCGGTTCTCCTGGTGGTCCTGGTCTACCGGGTAAACCTGATGCACATAAGAGCTCATTTAGAGATGGACAAAAGGAAGATTAGCAGTAAACTGGATGAAGGTTTCTCTTACCCGGGGGTCCAGGTGGACCTGAAAAGCAGGACAAGTGTTATTTTTCATGAAATTGGTCACAATAAAAAACAATACTGGAATGAGAGGTGTTTATTATACGCACCTATTAAACAAATTCCTTTGGAGCTGTTACACAGATCCTGAAAGGCTCTGATCTGAAAATAAGCAAAAAATAATTAGATTAAACACAAAAGTTTACTTTAAAATAAAAAAGTGCCCATAATTAAAATTAAAACAATAAACACATAATTAATTGTTATAGTCAGTTATGATATTTTTCATTTTTATTTTCAAAATGTTTCTATGTTTGAAAACTAAATATTTTCAATTCATCTTTGTTTTGTGGTTCTAAAAGTTCAATTTAGGGCATGTTATGGTGTTTAGTTTTTCATGTTCACTGGATTTTTTTAATATAATTTTTGTTTGGTTTGCCAATAAAATCAATCTGGCACTTGAACTCCCTCTGAAACCACAATCTCTGAAGAGTTGCCAGTTTTTTTTTTATTTCTATTTCTTTAGGACTGAGGGAGGAACAAGCAGCAGGCCCACATTACTACTCAGGAAATACTCGAACGCTGACCTCCCTTAATCGCTGCAGCAGACGCCAGCATTCTTTGAATGACATGCATAAGTGTTGAATCCCAAATTGGAAAACAGGGAATGCTCCAGTCACAAATAAAAAAGATTAAAACACCCACCTCTGAGCAGTTATCTGAAGGCTTACTACAATAATCCACATGTAAACAGTGTTGTATCTTACTGGAAACAGAGAGTACGTCATCAGCATCAGGTGGTTCTGCTCTTGGCTCTGTGTCACCTCTCCATCCTGGTTGCGTCTCCTGCGGCGTGGTCCCCTCAGCTCTCCGGCATGTCTCAGTTCGTCTGGCAGGATGGTTGTTTGCAGCCTGCAGCTCAGTGACAACTCCTGCATCTGGGACTCCAGCCTGACCAGCTCCTGCACCAGATCTTTGTGTTGGATGAGCAGAAACACAAAACCCGCCGAGCTCAGAAGCAGCGGCAGCAGCACACACGTAGCCACCAGCAACAGTTTCCACTTGGGGAGGCTTTCGGTCCTTTCCTTCATGCTTGCTCTGTTCCCCGTTCCTTGGCCGTAAAGTGATCTGAGCTCTGAAATCCAGAAGCATGTAACTAAAAACCTGACAGGAGATGGTACGTCACAGGGAAACCACACTGGAGCTGCTGCAGAGGAGTAAACATGTCATAATGTGTCTGAGCGCCTACAGGAGGAAACACATGATGCATTGCGCAACATTCATCTGGAAAGCAGTTAAAATCTGTAGCCCTGCCTGATTTAGAAGCAGCTAGCAGACATATTTCAAGTATGACATATCCTGTAGACAGAGCGACACCTCATTATTCTACCACTCTCCCCTTCAACATTATGTGCAGTCCATCCCACTCAAAACTCTTTAGAAGAGGAATAAATAAGACAAGAACAAAGGACACACTGTCTGAGTCTACAAAAGAGCTTTTATAGGTCTTTTGGTAAATGATGTGTGGAAGTACATGTGTGTGTGTCAAACTATTCTTTTTACTAAAGCTTTTTCTTACATTTATTTGTTCAGGCATTTAAATATAAAGAACTAAAGCATTTCTTAGTGTGCCAGCACAGTAACTTCTCAAAATTCAACATCAGTATTAATCTAAGATAGGACAAAATCCCTTTTTATAATGTGTAAAACATGCAAAGAGACCCAAGAACAAGAAATGTTAAAGCTGTTGTTAGTGTCTCATTAGGATCACCATGGTACGTAGTACATCTGTTACATTTTGCAGACTAAATAATAAGCTTCTACGGACACGTTATAGCTATTTCGTGGCCTCAAAATAGTATTTCGTGGCCACAGTTTATTTATTTTTTGGACCATGTCATCAGAGGGGCTCCATAGTTATGTGTTGTCAGTGGTAGAGTCGCGTTGATGTTATTCAGTCAGAGGCGAGATGTCCAAATATCAGGAAATAAGATTGCAGAACCTGATGTCTGAAGCTCAGCTGTGATGTGGCTCGATTGGAAATGGTGCAGCGATGATTTATTCTACTGGGTACGATTTGTAAGGCATTCATTCCTACTAGAGACCACTGCAAATGCATTGATTCAATAAGTTGTAATAGCTCTTTGGTCAATACAAAACATGTTTATAACAGTTTCTGCACTAAATCCCCATAAAGAGATTTTGGTCAGACTCAGGCAACAAGCACTAAAGAGGGCGGGGTTTTCACCTGTTGTTTTCTATGGGGACTGTTTTGCAGCGTTTTGTGACTTTTGTCTGTCACACCAAGTAAAATCCACAGCACACACTAGACTGATTAAACATGTTTTAATGAACAATTTCTATTTTTAGTCATGATAACAGAGCAAAAGAGTTTTCCAAACAGATGCACAAGCAATAACATGTTTTATAACTTCCGTGTGTTGTTGTTAGAGAAAATTAAGTTTTCAAGCCCACTTGGTGCTGGAGCCAACTCATTAGGAACAAAACTTGAAGCCAATATCTTTAGATTTGTCAGTCTGGCAGCTATGCTCCGAAAGACGGCTCATTATGAGCTCAAAATCTACCAAACACAGAAATCTCTGAAGTTTACAATAAAATCTTACACATACATTTCAAAGTTTCTGCTTAGTTTTAAAAAAATCCTATTCTTTTCTTTGTTTTCCTGCTGAATTGCTGAGCGAGTCCCTGCTTCCTTTGACACGGGTCAGCCTGACCTAGCTAATTAAGTTCCCCTTGAAAGCCTCCTCGGTTGAAGAATTGGATCGTAGGGTTTCTTTTTGTACAATGGAACAAAATGTGTAGTAAGAAAGAAAAAAAATAACCAAGGAAATATCGCTCCTTTCTTCGGTCCTCAGAATAAAAACAATCGTATTTTTGTTGTTTTGAAGCTAATTTGTGGTTTAGACATGGACTCTCTGGCCTGTTTGCTGGTCTGCCTTGTAATAGTCCTTGAAACCTAAAAGTGGTAAAGTTTCCAAGCAACCAGGGGAAGTGAAGGACCAACCAAGGATTTATAAACACTTGTTCCACTGTGATTTATTTAGTAGAGGAATGTAGAGCAGCATTAAAACCAGAGAAGGGAGTTCTGCCTCTCTTCAAACTCCACTTTCACTTGTCAGCAGCAGGAAACAGACATAGAGGTGAGAAGCATTCATTTATTTGTATGATAACAAATTTTTGGATGGATAATTTAAACACCATTATTTTCTGCTAATGTGATCATTTATTTACAAGTTATGAGACTGTTTGCATTTTCTGTGACTTTAACTTTAAATTTGCACTATAAAAATAAACTAATGCACTTTATTCACAAATATTTTATATTTTTGAAAAATGTATTACATTTTCTCAGTTATATTTGTCTACTCATCACCTTTTATTGCACATTTTTCAATCTCTATCTTTGTTTAAAATGAAAATATAACAAACTAAAAAGTAAATTATTACTTAAATTTTTAAAATCCAAGTATTTTCACTGATTGTTGTATTTATTATATCTGATCTTCACTGCCGTTACCCAAATAAAACTGACACATTTTCTCCTATTTCTCAAAGAATTAAGAACAATTGTGGATTTTAATTTTAAAGCTGAGAAGATTTGCTATAATTTCACTGCAAAGCAGAATCCCTACTGAACCCAAAAACAGAAAAACTTTCCAGCTATACCATTTTTTTAATGCAGATTTCAGCGAATGCTCCACAAATCTGCTGATGTTTTAAGACGCAGAGTCTGATATGACATTAGCCAATTAGAAAACAAGAGACAGAGATGAAAGAAAAGGTGACTTTGATGGTTTTTGGCTGAGCTTCAAGGCAGCTTTCTGAGTAAATTGGACAAGTCTAGACCTCCCTGGGTACAACAGAGAGATGAATGGAGGAGTAAAATGTGGAGGGTGCTATTTCACTTTTAAAAAATGCTCAACGTGGGTGTGTTATAGTTTTAATGTGCCTTCAGTACAGACTTCCAGAAGGATTTGAGAAGAGTAAACAGAAGCTCCACAGATTGTTCTGGTTGCTCAATAAAGAAGATTGTCACCTTTTCTGCCAGCTTCCTGCTGATGCATTTGCCCAGCTGGAGAAACAAAAGTGATGACAATACCAGCGATGTTCACCACTGACCACATGGTGGTTTATTGTCTGTCTGAAGTCACCCTCCTCCTGGTTCTGCTGCTGTTTTTGTTCCTGTTCATCAACGCCTGGAGCCAAGCTCACCACTCCCACATACCAGGTACAGTAAAAAGCCAACATCCTCTTACAAAAGGAAAAACAGGATGTAAGAAGCTCTATTTGACCATGTTTTTATTTTAAATGTGTTCATTTGTTCACTTTAGTACCTTTTGATGCAAAATGACCAATACAAAAATCAAATTTTCTCCAAAAACAAAAAAAGAAAAGCTGTATGAGTGTTGGGGGGGGGGGGGGGGGGGGGGAAAGAATAGTGAAGCTGAAGCCCTAAAAGTCCCAAAGGCAATTATGAGGAAGAAGAGAAACACCTGCACTTGGAGGAGCGTCTAAAGTGTATTTCTTTTAGCACATTGTGACAAATACAGGACAATAATCTGTTTATGTATGCACTGCCATACAAAAAGAAATTTGCCACCAGAAATAAAGGTCACACACTAATTTTTTGTTAGACCACCTGTAGCGTTGGTTACAGCACACATTTGTTGTGGCGATTGTTTCCATGAGCTTCTGCAATGTCACAAGATTTGTTTACATCCAGTGTTGCATTAATGTTTCACCAAGATCTTGCATTGATGATGGTAGTCTGATTGCTGCACAAAGCCTTCTCCAGTACATCCCAAAGACTCTCAACGGGGTTAAGGTCTGGGCTCTGTGGTGACCAATCCAGGTGTGAAAATTACATCTCATTCTCCCTGAACCACTCTTTCACTATTTGAGCCTGACAAATCCTGGCATTGCCATCTTGGAATATGCCCGTACCATCAGGGAAGATGGAATAACCTGGTCATTCAGTATATTCAGGTAGTCAGCTGACCTCACTCTTGGAGCACATCCTGTTTCTGAACCTAGACCTGACCCACTGCAGCAACCCCAGCTCATAGCACTGCCCCCACAGGCTTGTACACTAGGCATGATGGGTGCATCACTTCATCTGTCTCTCTTCTTACCCTGATGCACCATCACTCTGTAACAGGGTCCATCTGGACTCATCAGACCAGTTTTAATAATGAGTTGGACAGTTTTAACCCAGTTGTAGTTGTTTCTGCATCTCCTTAGATGTTTTCTCTTCTTGATGCCAATGATCTGACCCTTCTCAAACACACTAACATTTTTTCCACGACCACCAGATGTGTCTTTCCACATGGTTGTTTAAGAAATGTGAAGCAACTCATTGCACCAGTTGGGGTTAAATAATTTGTTACCAGTTGAAAGATAATCGCCCATCAGTAATTATCCAATAGGAGGTTCTTACCTATTTGCTTTGTTAAATCCAGGTGGCGACTTTATTTTGACTAGACTATGAATTAGATAACTGGGTTGATCCATCCCTCTAACGCTGACCTCCAAATCTGAGAGTTGTTCCTGAAATTTCATTAAGCTAAATTGTGGTTTTGTGGGAAACAGAGGCGGAGTCTCATGGTAAAAACCACAAGTCTTGGGATCTGATTAAAGATGTTAATGATAACCCTATACAGAAGTAGGTGACTTGCACAGAGCACTAAGTTTTTAGGAATTTAAAAACATGTGGAAACCTGAAATTAATATAAATGATTTACAAAGTATGAAGTCACAATTGGTTCAAATTTCACAGACCCAAAAAGAAATTTCTTCCAAAAAAGAAAAATGTGAATGCTGACTCAGCATTATTATTTATCCTAGTATTCAGATTTAAAACAAAACATTAAAAAATAAATAAATAAAATAAACAGTTTTGATGCTCATCATGGAGTCCCCAGACAAAAAACTAAGTGTTAAGTTTTACAAACTTCTCCTCAGGTCCTTCTTTCCTGGTTGGACTCGGTCCACTTCTCTCCTACGCCAGATTCCTGTGGACCGGGATCGGAACGGCATGCAATTACTACAACAACAAATACGGAAGCATTGTTCGGGTTTGGATTAATGGAGAGGAGACCCTCATTTTGAGCAGGTACATCTATTAAAGTAAAACATTCAGAAGCTTCATTTAACCAAATAAATCAGTGGCTGGATCAGTGAAGGTTTGTTTTGGATTGCAGGTCTACTGCTGTGTACCATGTGTTGAAAAGTGCTCTGTACACGTCCAGATTTGGGAGCAAAAGGGGACTAGAGTGTGTTGGGATGGAGGGGAGAGGTATCATTTTCAACAGTGACATCCCACTTTGGAAAAAATCAAGGACATACTTTTCCAAAGGTAAAAAAATAATGCACAATTAAATCAGAGTTTCACACCATTTTACTAAACTCCTGCACCATTTCATGTCCCAGCTCTGACTGGCCCTGGCCTGCGGAGGACTGTGGGAATCTGTGTGAGCTCCACAGACAAACACTTGGACAACCTGCATGATGTGACTGACCCCTCAGGACACGTGGATGCCCTGAGTCTCCTGAGAGCCATAGTGGTGGACATCTCCAACAGGCTGTTCCTCAGGGTGCCCCTGAATGGTCTGCTGCACATTTTCAGCACATGCTTTAGTTTCTGACAGAAGATACATCTAAAAGCATTCTTACACTAAAGCCTGCTGCTCCTGATTCTTCTTTTTTGTTTCATATGACTCAGAAAAAGAGCTGCTTATGAAAATCAATGACTACTTTGAGACCTGGCAAACAGTACTGATAAAACCGGATATATTCTTCAAGATTGGGTGGCTGTACAACAAACACAAGAGAGCAGCGTAAGGACCTCTACACATCACACAAACCCAACATTTAGGTTTCTTCAGCATCATCTCTGTTGCTTTGTGCACTGTCAGCCAGGAGCTGCAGGATGTGATGGAGAGCCTGCTGGAAACGAAAAGAAAACTCATTAATGAAACTGAAAAGCTGGATGAAGATCTTGACTTTGCAACAGAGCTCATATTCGCCCAGGTCAGTGTCTTTTATCTGTGTCACAGAGAAACTCCTATCTGGTTGTGGATTGATGAGTTTATCTCGTTTTCAGAACCACGGAGAGCTCTCAGCAGATAATGTCAGGCAGTGCGTACTGGAGATGGTGATCGCAGCTCCAGACACGCTCTCCATCAGCCTCTTCTTCATGCTGATGCTGCTCAAACAGTACCCTGATGTAGAGCTGCAGATTGTGGAGGAGATGAACACTGCCATGAGTGAGCACATGTTAAACACACTGCGGTGATTTAGCTGGACATTGTGTCAAGCTGACAGGTTGTTCATCTGCAGAGGGAAAATCAGTGGAGAACCTTGACTATGATGGACTGAAAGTGATGGAGAGTTTCATTAATGAGTGTTTGAGGTTTCATCCTGTGGTTGACTTCACCATGAGGAGAGCTCTGGAGGACGACGACATCGAAGGCACTAAAATCAGAAAAGGAACCAACATCATCCTCAACATCGGCCTTATGCACAAGAACGATTTCTTCCCCAAACCCAAAGAGTTCAGCCTGGTGAACTTTGACAGCACGGTGAGTGAGCGGAGCGCTGCGGAACAACTTGGAAAAGAAAAACAAACACAAGTTTAGTCTCTACTTCCTGTGTTTGGCAGGTGCCCAGTCGCTTCTTCCAGCCCTTTGGCTGCGGGCCTCGTTCCTGCGTGGGCAAACACATCGCCATGGTGATGATGAAGGCCATCCTGATCACCCTTTTGTCCCGCTACACGGTGTGTCCCCGCCACGGCTGTACCCTGGACAGCATCAGGCAGACCAACAACCTGTCTCAGCAGCCTGTGGAGGATGAGCACGGCCTCACCATGCTCTTCGTCCCCCGCACACAGAACACTCAGCTGTGAAGCATGAGAGCAATGACATCCCCTCATTGCTGAGCAGGACGACATGTGTTTGTGTTAGACCTGCTGGTAAAGACATAAACACACATTCAAGAGGTTTTTGCCTTCGTTTCAACAGTGATAGTGGAATTTGATGAATCAGAGCAAAACACATTTAAATGTCTGACATAGAAATAAAGAAAATAAAACGTTAACAGGAAAACATACTATGGTTATATTAATCCTACTTAACAAAGATCATTTCCTAAATAACTGTGCTCTTTATTTTTATTTACTCCATTCCAATCATTCTTGAGTGATACAATCTTTACAGGTTTTGGGCTAAAACATGGTTTGCTAGCTTAGTCTTCCCCAACACACTGTGAGCCTTAAAGCAACACAAAATTTTTTTTTTAACTTTAATCTAGAAATTTAACATTGATCTCAGTGATTGTTGGGTTAGAAACTTAACCAGTTTCATATTTCACACCATATTTGGTCTAGGGGGTGATCATATACATGCATTACAGCTGTTAGCATCTCTTACTTTTTCTTCCAGGCTCTGCCAGTATGCCAGCAGAAAAGCAAACTTCTGATGTTTATCAATGTCAAGGCGCCTGGCCTGTCTTGCTAGACCAGGCGCCTTGCTAATGAGGACACTGTCCTTCCTTGGTCAAAGAAAACAGTTACATGGAACAGACTTACATATTACATATTCAACATAAATGTTTAACAACCTTTTTACTTTTTTAATTGTGTACATATTGGTTAGATTAAATATGTAAGCAAGCTACTACCTGCTGTAACAGCCACCAAAGCTGCAACTAGCAACCATTGATAACTGCTTTAGATCTAAAAAACATTTCAGATTTCAGTCCAATAGCTACAATTAGTTGATTTACATTTAAAGTGGAAATTTGTCCACGAAGTAGCTGCTGGCTCCTGATCCACCATCCTTTTGAAAATACAGCGCTGTATTCTGGGAAAATTTTGACCCAGAGACGGCAACAAGACACCTTGCATGTATCCTTGCTCAGTTAACTAAACAGCTAACAAGGAGAGGACAGGCGTCTCAGAAACACAAGAACACTGGAACCGATTGGAACATGCCTTAGCATTTCCTCATGACGTATTTCCTAGGCAACCAGGGCGGGACCAAGGCATCAAGGCAAGGTTCCTTGACACTGAGAAACACCCTTCTTCTTTTACTTCTTATGCATTTAATTGATGATCAGCAAATTGAACAAGCTAACTGCACAGAAAACAGCTAACAGTCGTAATGCATGTGTAATGGGCCATTCCCATCTGTACCGGGCCGGGTAGCGTAGGTTGTTTACATATCTGGGTGGCCTGGTATTTTTCCGGGCCAACCAAGGCTCATTCGCAGCCCTCTTCTCGAGGGGGTCTGCTTCAGGCCGACCAGGGCCAACACACCCACTGCTGACAGCAAATTCACACCTTCCATTAGAGCAAGCCTCTGATTGGTGGGTAGAATCAGCCCACATGGGCTTAAGGCAAGGATGTGTGGAATCAACCGGGCCAGGCTGGGGCCGACTGGGGCTACCTGGCCCAGGCCGACCCGGTACAGATGGGAATAGCCCATAAGAGCACCCCCTAGAGCACCTACCCCTCCACAAAACTGTAAAGTGCAGTATGTGGCCAGTAGAGGGCTGCAGAGTGGTGTCAAATATGAAACTGTTCAAGTTTCTAACCCAACAACCACTGAGATCAATGTTAAAGCTTTAGCTTAAAGTTAAAAAAAAAACGATTTAGTGTTACTTTAACTATCATTTAAGAGCTTTTTGTCAATTTGTTAGTCATTTGATTAAACTTTATCAAAAAATATTCTGATATGAAACTTTCCCGAGTACTCCTTTTCTTCACTGAACTAACGTGGATTCAACATGACCACCTGAGCCAAGATTTCTGGGACATGTGAGTGAAAATTCAGTCATTAAAGAGTCATTTCAAGTCTTTTCACATGAGCTGAATTTATTTATAATTTACTAGAATGTAGTGAGAGGCACTCTGAGAAACAAGAACTCTGTGCCACAGGCACAAATCAAACATGCCGCCTTGGCATCACAACGTAAGGCAAAAGGGTTCATCTAAGCAGCCTCGCACCATGCTTTAAAGTCAGTGCACGAGTATGACATGAGACAAAAATCAGACAGATTTCTCCTGTCTTAGTGAAAATATGACAAAAATGAGGATATAAATAAATGTTTTAATACTGAATAGATGGAATTCATACTTGAAGTGAAATGTTAGTCATATTTAACATAACCATAAGTGCATAGACGGTTTAATTAGATAAAAGGCAACATCTGTAAAGGATCAATAAGATAAACATTACTGTGATTAGGACAAAAATCCTTTACCACAGATGCCCAGCAGAAATAAGGAGGTGTTAAATCTTTAGGCAATAACAAATGTAAACACATACATATAAATATCAGCACTGACGTTCAGCTTTCTACCAAGATTTTCCTGTAAAGACAACATTCCTGTGATTTTCCACATAGTGAGCAAAAAATAAAAAAACAATGGTTTTTTTTTTCTGTCTTAAAATTTTAAGAAGTTCAGACAGTAATTGAAAGTAGATCAGAGCAATAATGTCACGTCTCAACTAAGATGAATGAAACATGTCTGTGTAACATTAAATTACTCCACTGGCACATAAACAATAAAATTGACTTTTTAACAAACCTCTAGAGTTTTTAATCCCTGATTGTTCTAGACACAGAATGTAGATTAGAAATTAGGACAATTTATCTTTTTACAATTTGTAGATCTGGAAAATGGGAAAAAAGAAGTTAATTGTTTATTAATCCTTTATAAGTCAGAATAAATACAATGGTGCTAATTTAAGGTCATTATTAAAGTATGACAAGATATTCTGGACTTCTATCTGCATTTAAGACCTTAGTGTTGTTTTAAAACAAACCAGGTTTCAGCCCTGAGTTTATTTACCTGCCACGGCTTTCAAAGCTTTTTTAAATTGTTTGTAATTCATCAAAGAAACCCATGATCTGTAAAATAAAAAAGTGAAATCTCTGCTCAGCTCTCCTGTAGCGCTCTCTGACAGTGGTAGAGGAGGCAGTCGGGCAACTCGGGGATGGGGGAGCGCAGCCACACCGCCAGCATGCCAGCGTGAACGCGACAGTGCAGGAGGCACGGCTGATCCTGTCTGAGGCAGCAAGCTACAATCCCTTCGTTTCCTGGGAAACAAACATTGTTGACATCACTCAGTGGTTCAACACATGCAACTGCAGGAACACATCTGAAATCTGCCAAATAGCTCAAACAACTATTGTTTTTTTTAATAAACAACTTTATCTAATGCTTATAATAAAGGAATATGTTTTATTTTACACAAGAATTACATCATTTGAAGGTAATTTATGTATTTATGATCCATTTGCTTTTCAGCTTAGTGAAATTATTCTACCTAATCACTTGACATTTCTTTTCTAATGATTGATTGAAAGAATGATGAATTAAAGGAGATTGGCATCAGTTTTAAATCATTTCTATAAAACTTCAATAGAAAGCATCAAGTAACCTTTTTACAATGCTTTTACAAGACCTTGCAAACGCGCTTGTTTGTTTAAAACGCTGAAATGAAAAAGCTGCAGAAATTTTAACATGCAAATCTTTTAATAGTGTCGTCTCCTAAACTAAAGATCAAATCACAAAATAAGTAAACAAAAAACTAAAATCCAGCAATCAATCTCTACTATTGCTAAAGTGCTGATAAAATAATTATTCATCTCTGCAATAAAGGAGCGTTAAATGTTTGAAAGTCACAGCTCTTAGAGTACTCAGGTCATTTATTCCTACTTTTTTCCTTTTATCAAGAATAAAACCTGAATATTATAAATCCAGAGCTCACACAGATGCTTCCTTACCTATAATCTCTACAACATGAAGCTGAAGCTTGTCCTTCAGCACCTTCAGCGTAGCGGTGAGCGGCTCCTCCGCGTCCATCATCAGCGGCAGATTCTGCTTGGTGTCGTGTGAAAAGGCCAGCCACATTGTCCCGTACTCCTCAGTGGAAAGTCTCAAAGGTCTGCAGGACACATGTCAATGTTATTTACTCATCGTCAGCGTGACCACACCTTTAAAAACATGTCTCACCTGAGGAAGCTGGTTAAAGGAATTCTGTGTGAGAATTGTGTTTCCTGAAGCGAATTATCAGGAATCTGGTGCGACATCATCCCAGACAGCACAAAGTAAACCGAGGGACTCTTCACCGTTAGAAAATACTGACACACCACTACGCCGTGGCTTTTTAACTCCTCTACTGGACTGTCACACACACAGGACACCTTAACAACAGAAACGTTACAGGAAATGTTACGATTCATAGAAAATTATTTGATTAAACTGTACTGATCCTTTAAATTGTATAAATTACCTCAAGTTCCTCACAGGTGACTTGAACTTGAATCTGCTGTATGTCATAATCAGACGAGCTCTTCATGAAGACGAGAAGCACTAAAGAATCGTCTTTTTGAACATGACAGGAAGACAGATCCAGGCTTGGGCTGGTGCATAGGGGAGTGATTTCTGAGTGAGGGAGTCCAGAAAGTTCTGCTGGAAGATGTGAAGTGAGACACGAGTCTTTAGGTCTGTCTAGCTCTTCGTGTGGAGAAGAACCGGCTGCTAATGCGGAGTCTTCTCTAAGTAGAGTACTTTTTATTCCCTTCATGTCTCTGTCAGGTAACTCTACTTCTCCATTAGCAACAGTGAGGTCAACAGAGCTTAGATGAGTCTGTTCAGGTGAAGAAATTAGATCTGAGGAAATGCTGGAGTCCAGCAGCAGGTGACCCACACTACTGGGAGGAGAAACCAGTGGGTTCTGCGTGCTGGAGGGGAATGATGCAGCTGGATCTTTGAGTTTTCTTCTGAATCGTTGAGATGTTTGCTCAGATTTTCCCATCTGTTAGATGAAAAACTTTAAATTGTAGCACACATTTGTATAAAAGCAACATTTTAGAGAACTAAGGACAGAAGGCCCTTAAATATTTATTTCACTTCATTTTCCTTCTACAAACAGATTCATAAAACCATGAACTGACCAGACACACGGAGCTCTGGGAGGCCAGGCCAACGAACAGTGAGGATGCCAGCTGCTGTTTTTCCTGTTCACATTCGGGGATTGGTGTAGGAGTCTGGCTGTAGGAGGCGTCGCCGTCACCCTGCTGAACGAGAGGCTGGAGCGGACTGGGAGCCTCGACCGGAGCAGTTTCCTCTGCAGATTCTCTCTGAGCCAGATAACCTTCTTTCCCCCAGACCCTCCTCACTCCATCCAGCTTCAAGGTTGTGGAGCTGAAACACAAACAGGGACTCAGCATTGCGAAATAAAGAAGACAAACAGACTTCCAGCTGAACCTACATACCCGCCTTTGTGTGAGTGATCCGTGCGGTCGCCTGACAGACCAGAGCTCACGGACAGCAGCGTAGGGGACTGTCTGTCTGCGATGCTGCAAGAGGACATGCTGATAGGCAGGGACAGGCCATAGGGCTCCAAACTCAGTGCTGAGACGCACAAAACCATCAGAACACACCCAAACAACACACCAAACTTGCAGCCAAAATAATTTTCACACATTCTACCTTTGGATCGGGACAGTTCCTCCTGTCTTTGATGGGGAGGCTTATAGGGAGCGGCGCCTGCAGCTAGCGCTTCTGACACAAATCCATCCAGAAACGACAGCGATGAATCTACCTGGAAACCAACGTAAACACAGCAGCAATAAACCCTCTAAGTGAAGCTTTAAACGTTCACTGAAACTGTGTCTCATCTGCAACAACCAGACCAGTAGATCTTCCATTTGAAGTATGATGTATGCTCTTTAAATGACTGAAGCTGTAGCTAAAAGCAAACCTGAACCTTCTGCAGACATGATGAAACAGCTGCCCTGATTGATGCTGATATTCCTGCTCTCATTAGTTTGGTTCCTCTAATCAGCTCTGTGTTAACACCAACTCCAGCAAACAGCAAAGAAAACTAAATAATCGTCTGTGTTTCTGCTCGGTCAGTTTTGCAGCCTTACCTCCATGGGCTCCTGGCTGACACCCCGAGGTAGCACCCTGGCCTGTAGCTCAGGGTTTTGGCTGAGGTACTGCAGCTCCTGAGCTCTTTGTCGCAGCATTGTGTCCATGGAACTGCTGTATGTTTCAGAAACCTCCAGAGGCACGGAAAGAGGTGCTCCACCCGAGCAGAGTTTGGTCATCGCCATGAGGATCCAGCTTTTAGTCTCACTGCTGGTGCTCTTTATATTCAACAGTTTAACCAACAGCCTCAAGACCAGATCGGGCTCAACATCCTCCCGTAAATGAGAATATTCTCCAAGAACCTGAACATAAAGAGTTCACAATTAAGGAATGAAATGTCATTTCATCATCTGATCCTGGGTAAATCACTGGAACATTCTTTTGACACTTACAGCAGATCTAAACTCTTTGTTTCTTTTTGTTGAAATGAAAATAGATTTTCTTTATTTGTGTTGTTGGGTGATCCCAGTACTCCCAGAACACTCACCCAGCAGATGGCCTGGAGGAAGCGCTGGGGCAGCTTGCTGGGCTCTCCCTGAAGCAGAGAAATGTAGGAGTTCACCGCAAACAGCCTCAACTTCTTGTTCTCCTCCTCATCATCAAATCCTGTGTCATAGAGAAAATAATAAAACTACATGATACTTGAATAGAAAACCATTAAACGGTAAACTTAGATCAAGTTGAGCTTGGTTTTAGCTCACCTTCTGAGAGCAGTTTAAGGAAACTGTTTGGGATGTCGGGCTGCAACGTGTCTCCGCCTACAGAGAACACCGTGTTCATGGTCTCAACAAACCACTCGTTGTCTGGTGCATATGTGAGAGGGTTTATAGGAAAAGGCTTTAAAAAGCAACAATAGGTTGATTAGTGCTTTTGCACTTTGCAACAGATTACAGAACAGCTGCGATGTAATTTTAAACAAGCTGAATGAGAAGAACCACAGCTGGAAAACAGAACAATGAAAATGACAGGGAGAAAACCAGAAGAAAGACGAGCAAAACAAACCACAGAAATGTGAGACATTCAATGAAATAACAAAGAAAGCATAAAGAAATATGAACCAGTCAAAAAAGTATCTACATAAAGATGTCATTTAAGTAACAAAAGACCCAAATAAACTTACTAAAGATGCAAACGGATTACATGGAGATACAAAACAACGGCAAAGCTTTAAAACTGTTCAAATGAGCCGAAATAAGGCCAACTATAAAAATTTGCATTTCTTGCAGAAATGCTGTTTGAATGCTGGATAGCTGAAACTAAGAAAAACTGTCAAAATGAGCTGAATGTATTGAAAGATGTAGAAGCAAAAAGCACCAACAAGCAAATAAAGCACAAAAAGTAAGTGAGGAATGGAGAAAAATAATCATAAATAGCAAAAAACTGAAATCTGTGAACATTGTATAAAAATCTGGACAGCTAAAATGTCTAAACACCTGTTATTTCAGTTGGACAAGTTTAACAGTTTAATCTTTACCTTTAGCTGAACTGTGAAATTAGCAGCTTATGCTAAATTTGGTAACTGATTGCTGAAGTTGTTTATTAGTTGAAGTGAAGCTGAAACTAAGCTAAACTGGCAAATGAGCTGAATGTAGTGAAAGATGAGAAAGCAAAAAGCACCAACAAGCAAATAAAGCACAAAAAGTAAGTGAAGAATCAAGAAAACTAATCCTAAACAGCAGAAAACTGAAATCTGTGAACAATGTTTAAAAAACTGGACAGCTAAAATGTCTAAACACCTGTTATTTCGGTAGGACTAGTTTAACAGTATAATTTTTACATTTAGCTGAACTGTTAATTTAGCATCATATGCTGAATTCAGAAACTGATTGCTGAAGCTGCTGATTAGCTGAAATGAAGCTGAAACTAAGCTAAACTGTCAAAATGAGCTGAATGTATAGAAAAATCACTAACAAGTGTAATAAAGCTCAGAATATAGGTGAAGAATGGACAAAAAATGCTAAACTGCAGAAAACTTTAATCTTAGAACATTGATTAAAAACTCGAAATTTGAAATGGTTAAACATTTGAATGAGAATAGTTTAATGGGTACATTTTTACAATTGGCTGAACTGTGAATTTAGAAAAAAATTGCTGATATCTGAAACTGATAGATTAACATATGTTCAGACTTGATATGGGATGAATGAATGAATGAATGAATGAATGAATGGATGGATGGATGGATGGATGGATGGATGGATGGATGGATTTATAAGTGGATGGATGGATTCCTTAGGCCAAGCTGATTAATTTGATGTATCACATGTGTGGGTGTGTAATTCCATTTAGCCAGAAGATGATTGACCTCTCTCAACCAATCAGGGAGCTGGGAGGGAGCGGGGCACTTTCCCACCTTATGATGGTCAATCAAATTTAACTTGTTTCTAGTTTTAAGTACAGATAGTTCAAAAAGATCAAAAACAGGAGTCTGTTATTGGCTCAATATTCAGCTTTTTATATTCATTCCTATGAGACTTGGTTAAAGTGATTTGTAGCTCCTTGTGCTGCCATGGTAACAGATGACAGGAATCTGCTTTAATAAAGCAATGTACAATGTCACATGACTCTATTAAACTTTGAATAACATTTCTATCTTAAAGTATGTTGATACAGTTGTGTCGAAAATGTTATTAAATGTTGTCGCTAAGCACATTGCCATGGTAAAGCAGAACACAAAATCAAGCTAATACAAGACTCCTGGGACCAAGCAGGTTGAATTGATGTATCATATGTGTGGGTGCATATTTCCTTTTAGGCAGAAGAGAATTGAAAACTCTCAGTCAATCAGAGAGCAGAGAAGGAGGGGGCGGTTCCTGCCTTCTGACTAGTGTTAAAATGTCAGCTATGCTGCTAGTTTTAAGTGTATAGAGCTCAGAAAGATAAGAAACAGCAGTATGTTAGAGGTTTAATATTAGGCTTTTCACATTAATTTCAATGCGACTTGTTTGGGGATATCCTTATGCACTTGTGTTACCATGGTAACAGATGACAGAAATCTACTTCAATATACTTATGTTCAATGTGCCATGACCTTTTTAAATTTTAAATAATGTTCGTATGTTAAATTACTTTGAAACAGTAGTGTCTAAAATGTATGAAATGTCATTGCTAAGATTGTTACCATGGTGTCAGATAACACATTTAAAATTTAATACAAGATTTCTGAGACCAAGCCGGTCATTTTGATGTATCATATGTATAGGTGCTTGATCCTGCTTGGACAGAAAATAGTTGAACATTCTCAGCCAATCAGAGAGGAGCAACACTGTTTTCCCGCCTTTTCCCCTGGCTGTTGGAGACATGCAGCTGTACTCCTATTACTGAGAGAAGCCATTAAATCTGTCCTTCAGAAGTGAAATTGGACCTGTCAAACTTCTCATCACCATTCGAAAAGTACTGCACCGATTCGAAATTTTCAAAAAGTGTGAGCGGCAGAAGGCTTTGGTGGACATCTGAATGAAGTCTTGTGTGTCTGCCACGAATGTTTTAGAAGATATGGAGAGAAAATTTCAGCTGTCTGTCGGCCACAGGTGCCTTTTTTTTAAAGGGGTTTAAATGGAGGAAAGCTAGCACAGTCCTCCATCTGAGGCTTGTAGCACAAAAAATGTGATACCAACAGCAAAACTGAAGTCATCACTTCGAAGCAGACAAAATAACCTAACAAATTTGAGAATATCATTAGTGTACTATAAAAGATGTGGTCGGTGGAAATTTTTGTTTCAAGATTTCATAAATCATGCAGTTAACAGCTGCTCAGATGCCATGTCAGACCTCTGAACGTCTCATCAACATTCAAAAACCGCTGCACCGATTGAAAATTTTCAAAAAGCATGACTGGCAGAAGGCTTTGGTGGTTATCTTTGTGAAGTCTTGTGTGCCTACCATTAATGATCTTGAAGCTATGAGGAGAACATTTCAGCAATCTGTCAGCCACAGGAGCCTATTTTATAAGAGGTTTAAATGGAGGAAAGCTGGCACAGTCCTCTTTCTCACGCGTGTAGCGCAAAAACCGTAAAACTTACAGGAAAACCAAAGACATCACTTTGAAGCGGACAAAATAGCCTAACGAATTTGAGAATATCATTAGTGTACTATAAAAGATGTGGTCGGTGGAAATTTTTGTTTCAAGATTTCATAAAATCATGCAGTTAACAGTGCTCAGCTCCTTAGATGTCATGTCAGAGCTCTGAATGTCTCATCACCATTGAAAAACTGAAGCCCCGATTGGAAAAGTTCAAAAAGCGTGAGTGGCAGAAGGCTTTGGTGGTTATCTGTGTGAATTTTTGTGTGCCTACTTTGAATTGTCTAGAAGCTATGACGAGAACATTTTAGCTGTCTGAAGCCAATCGGAGAAGAAAATCTCAGTTCTATTTCGTCTAGTCTTAGCCCTTAAGCGAGCTGCTATTGGAAGGATGATCTCCGCATCAGCCAATCATGAAGAGCTTAAATGTATGCCCACCAATAGTGGGCCCCCTCGTGGTATATAACCGCAGTGACCCCACTGCTCGCCTCCTTTTTCTCTTCATGCCAAGCTGAGAGCTTCTTAAAGAGCAAATTTATCCAGAAAGAGCAAGATTATCCGAGAAGACTTACCAGCCATGTCCAGTGATGCCAGACCCTGCCCGACCTGCCAGTCGGGCTCCATTTCCAGCGGAGACCTGCACGCTAAGTGTGAGGTCTGTCTCGGGGCTCACCACGCTGGCCTGGCCTTGACCCCGCAGGCCTCGTGCCCGTTCTGTGCCGCTCTGCCCGTGGCAGAGAAGATTCGCCGGGTCGAGTACTTCACTCCCACCGCCGACGAAGAATTTCCGGTGGCTGACTCGTACCCGCTGGACAAGGCGTTGGATTTCTTCGACGCCGGTCAGGAGCCGGCTGGCTTCAACCGGCTGGATGACGTCACCGACAGCGAGAACTACGACGAGGCGGCATCCCTCCTAGACATAACGGAGGTCGATGAGCTCCGCCCAGCGGGTCCTTCTGCCCCAGTGGCTTCTCGCTCCTCCCTGCCAGCAGTAAGAGCACTGCTCCAGGAGCTGCCTGCCATCATTTCTGCGGCAGCAGCCCACAAGGGGCTAGCTGTGCCGGAACCAGCCCCGCCTGAAGCAGATGATTTGGCGGGAATCTTCGGGGCAACTCAGACACGCTGTCTAGACCCTATTTGGCCGCGCTTTCCCGCTGCTATGAGCTGCTGGTCTGCCGCCTTCTCCGAGCCTGCCAAGCTCAAGGCGCCAGTCTCCACCTATGCGCCCATCACCAAGGTCGAGGGGTTTTCCGACCAAGGCTGGCCGTCCGTTCCTCCGCTAGAGCCGGACTTGGCCTCGCTGTTTGGCGCCAAGAACCACCTCGCTGGCCCGCGAGCTGTTCCCGCTTCAAAACATGACCAGCTGCTGACGCGGCTCACCGACCGCGCACATCAGTGTGCCTTTCAGACCGGCGCTGCAGGGAAGAACATCGCCCTCCTTGCCTTCGGCGTCTCGAGGATGATGGAGGAGCTGGAAGCCCCCGAGGAGTCGAAAGCCGTCATTACTAAGACTGCTGATGCTATCCTCAATTTGTGTGCTGCTGTGCTCACCGGTTCTGCTCGCATCGCTGCCTGGCAGACCCTCATCCAGCGAGCGATCTGGCTCAAGGCCCTGCCCTCCATTCCGGAACATCTGCAAAGGGAGATGCTGGACGGCCCCATCACCACCGATGTTCTGTTTGGTCCCCATCTTAGGGGCGTCATTGAGAGGGCTCAGAAGACGGCCGAACTATCGGCTACGGTACGAGACCTGGTTCACCCTCGGTCAGCCTCGCACTCCGGCCGTTCTGCCA